CAGATATTAATACCCAACAGTTTCTTTAGAGGACGTTTGGCACTGCTTATTAAAGTTATGCTCAAGTTAATAATAGTTATATTAACGATCACATTCAGGCATATTTAGATTTTTTTTCTGGTAATCATTTAATAGTGTCAGAATGTCACAATGCAGTTACAAAAGAGGTGACAGTTATAAACTCAAAGTAGATTTATACATACTTTTTGGGGGGTTTTGCCATATTTAACTAATTGTGACTGATTGTTTGAACTGCAGACACCCAGAGTGTTGCAAGTAACATGATGGCCACTAGAGACTCCCATAATCTCAACACACTCTGCGATATTGCACAAGAAAAGTTTGTTGTTCTGTTTGTTGCTGCTATTGTTGTTTGTGTCTGTACAACAGTTAGAACAAACAAAAGTGTACCATAGGTTTATCCTCAACATAATTTGTTTTTCAGGGCAGAATGTTGCTTCTTTATGTTGGATTGGCAGCCTATTTAAAAAGAAAGAAAGAAACATTATCACTTGTTTTTTATGTGCAATGTGAAAGACTGAATAAACACTAAATTACTGTATTTTACAATCGGTAATATTACTTACTTTCTAACTTCTCAACATATGATATTACTGGATTATAGTTATTGGTGCATTAAAATGTGTTCATAACTTTAATGTTGAGAATGGATAGGTGGAGCTACATGTAATTACTGCTGCTTGGCTTAAGAGATGATAATAATAATAATAATAATAATAATAATAATAATAATAATAATAATAATAATAATAATAATAATAATAATAATAATAATAATAATAATAATAATAATTATAATAATAATAATAATAATAATAATAATAATAATAATAAATCATAATGTTTTTGATGATTTATAATGTAGCCTAATTAATCATCTTTATCCGCAAGTAACCAGTAACTAAATCCATGATTAATAAAAACTGGTGGACTAAAAAATACCCAACAATATGCTCTGAAACACACTAAAAGTATAAAGTAGCATAACAAATAAGTAAGTTAAGTAAGAGTATCTCAGAAGCTAGTTACTTTAAACAACTAGCTATAAGGTAAATCAAGTAAAAAGCAAATTATTACCTCTCAATGTAGTTGAGTTTTAGCATGAGAAGATAACAGTCAAACAAAGTACCTCAAATATGTACAAGTATAAAACACGAGTAAATGTATTATATTTCCAAAAGTGATTTTGTGTTAGCTCACCTGTTGATTCATTAAGCTAACAGCAGGCTCACGGGAGCACGCGCAGAGGCTTCTATGGAAAGCCAAAAGTGCCATATTTCGTCCGTTTATTTCGCCCGTTTTTTTGTAAAAATTGCCAAATATTCGCGCGAATATACGGACCTCCCCGAAAATACACGCGAACATACGGGCGAATATACACGCGAATGTTCGCGCGGTTTTTTATATGATAATGGGCCCTTCCTTCTGATTTCCAAAGCCAATAAGGTCAAAGTTACTGTAACCAATCAGTGAAGAGTAAAGCCAGACCAAAGCAATCTGTAGATGAAAAGTTCCTGACATTGTGAGGCTGTGCTGTGAATTGTACATTATTCCAGATTCAGGGGACTACAGTAAGTATTCATTTGCCTTTGAATATAATCAATACACAAATGTGTGTACAAATACAAATTGAGCATTACAACTTTTTTTTCAACCAACTATTTACGTTAACATAAGAAACTGTAAAATCTCACACAGTGCAAGTACACTATTACTGTAATATTTACACTTACCTATCTTCAAATGGATCCTTGTTGCTGTATTCTTCTTCTTCAGAAGAGTAGAAGCCTTCAGTCTCACGGCATTTCGTGTTATAGTCACGGCATTTAATCTATTGATTCATGTTCACCAACACGATTTTCCCCTTTTTTTCGTGTCACACAGAACGATTTTAAAAGCAATGTATTTCTATTGGTAGTATGTTTCGTGCCTGCAACACGTCTTTTTGTCCGGTCGGGTCTTGGAAGACCAGAAGCTGTGGGGTTCATAAAAACATCTTCTTACTCAATATCAAGCCACGATTATTGTTTTTATTTTAAATCGTATAATGTCGGACTTTTTTTGTCATCTGTGAGGAAAATAAATGGGGCTCAGAGCCTCAGAATACTGAAATCTGTGTTTCTTTAAATCTTTTTTTCCTTCTAATTTGTTATTCTTTTCTAAATAACACACTGTTATTTACTCAACAATAACACACAATTATCCTTGTTTTTATTTATTTGTTTAATTTCATAATCCCGGGCTTTTTTGGCGTCCGTCAGGAACTGAATTTCAAAATAAAAATAACCGGAAACAGACGTAGGCCTATATGGGACATTTCGAGCATCATTGCGATACACAGCCACTGAACTGAAAGTAGTGACATATATGCATTACACTATAGGCCTATATAAATGGTTCATGTGATTTGTACAAATACAAATTGAGCATTACAACTTTTTTTTTCAACCAACTATTTATGTTAACATAAGAAACTGTAAAATCTCAATATTTACAATATCAGAACTTTTTCAACCAACTATTCATTATAAATGTAAAGACAGGGGGAGCAGTGTCATCGTCTTTGTCTGTCCTCCAAGACAGTGGGTCTGGCTGCTGTGTAGGTGGGGGTGATGGTGCATGGGCTGCTGGTGGCTGTGTTGGAGGGAGGTAGGTGTGATGGTCCCGGGTTGATGCTGGTGGCTGTGTGGGAGGTACGTGTGCCTGCCGCAGACTTGGCATTCTGGCTAGACTGATTATACATCCATGGAACGACCAGACAAACGGCAGCAACTTTCCCTCTGCTTCATATCTCCTGTTCAACAGGTTAGTAGTTTGTACAAAGATAATGTCATATTTCGATCTAAGAAGTGTGTTTGAAACTGTTTCATATGTAGTTTAATGTCATTCTGTGAGCTAGTTTGGCTCCACTACAGTGTGTGGCAAATGGTGTCCGCTAGCTTCTTTAGCACAGACTATCGCTCCCTGAATAATGTAGGGCTCAAACTACTATGTTACTATGTGTATGACTCCCGTGCTCTAGTTTGGCTTACATTTCAAGTGTATTCTGTTTGTATAAATATGTGAATTGCTGGTCTGAGGTCATAATTGTTCACATTATTTAAATGCTAATAGCGCTAATGCTATGCTAATATTGTGCCTGTCAGTGTACAACAGAGCCATGTTAAAGTGAGTACAGTCAACCGGGTTGGGTGTGTTATCACTGTATTATATACTGTAAATGAAGAAGGCTTTAATCCTTCATAAAAGTCATAATATGGCATGTGGATTTATTTCCATTTTTGATTAGAGACAAATATGTCATACAGTTATTTTGATTTGCTAAATGTATGTTTACATTCAGAACAAAGAATGATTAGATAAATAGAGAAAACAGATATAATTTGTAAGTGAATGTATTAATGTGTTTAATAAATTCTGGCTAGAACGACCAGACAAACGGCAGCAACTTTCCCTCTGTTTCATTATTTTCTCCTGTTCAACAGGCTTATTATCTGATTACCCAACCCAGTCTCACGGCATTTCGTGTTATAGTCACAACATTTAATCTATTGATTCGTGTTCACCATCACGATTTCCCCCTTTTTTTCGTGTCACACAGAACGATTTTAAAAGCAATGTATTTCTATTAGTAGTATGTTTCGTGCCTGCAACACGTCTTTTTGTCCAGTCGGGTCTTGGAAGACCGGAAGCTGTGTGGTTCATACAAACATGTTAGACCCCAAGCCTGTTTTTCAGGTTTCAGGCTCGAAAATGACATGCCCAGAACAAATGACTATAACTTCACTTCTAAAAGGGTTAAATTAATAATCTTTTTTCTCAAAGCAATTTACATCTGTGAGTTGGATGTAGAAGTGTCAGAATCAATCGAATCGAAGGGGAATTTCCACATACACACATACGTTACCATTGAGAAATGAGAGCTATGCGCACGCAGTTTTGCATGAGAGCGAACCTATCTCTCGCTCTGACATCTGGAAACGGAAAAGCAGGTTTATTGCTTATGGATTATCAGAAATCATTTCAAAGGGACACAGACACATTGGATTAACCTATGGATTAACCTTCAGCAGCGTTTTTATCGTTTTAATGCCATTGAAGACCACTTTTGACCAAGGTAAGCCATTTTGCCGTTTTTAGCTACCTAGCGCCACATGTTTTGATGTCTGTTCTTGTTAATATCTTTGCGAGTTCTTATCATAGAGTGATGATGTATGCACCTATGGATTCTGTGTCATCTCACGATGCTAGTCGATATGTTGGATGTGCAGTTAAGATAAGCAATAAGAGTGTTATGAGTGAGTTTCTGTGCAGTAATGCGTTAGCATTTTTTTGCTCGTGGCTAATTCAGAGGCTGAGCATTAGCTTTGTGGGTTTAAAAAAAAAAAAAAAAAAAAAAAAAAAAGATCAGTTAGCTGATGGATATAAAACATTCATAGTTTATTAAATATTAAGATGCCCTCAGACGCTGTTTCCTGCAGATGACGCGGTTTTCCAACCCGGTACCGGGGGGGCGGTGTACAACAGGTTAAGGAAAAGGGTAAGGCGATTTTATTTTAAAAGACAATGAAGGCAGGTTATATTGATATATTGATTGATATATTGATTATATTCAAAGGCAAATTAATACTTAGTCCCCTGAATCTGGAATAATATACAATTCACAGCACAACCTCACAATGTCAGGAACTTTTCATCTACAGATTGCTTTGGTGTGGCTTTACTCTTCACTGATTGGTTACAGAAACTTTGACCTTATTGGCTATGGAAATCAGAAGGAGGGGCCCATTATCATATAAAAAACCGCGCGAACATTCGCGTGTATATTTACGCGTATTTTTGCGGAGGTCCGTATATTCGTGTGAATATTCACCCGTTTTTACAAAAAAACGGGCGAAATAAACGGGCATATTATGGCACTTTTGGCCTTCCATAGACTTGCGCTCTGCTTACATGACGTTACCCAGAATTCTGCGGGGCTCTGTCAGAAACATCAAGGAAGAGGAGGATGCGCGTCGGTGAGTGAAGTCTATCAAAAACAACGCACAAACATACATATATAAGTCGTGTTACGCACATTCATGGCGGTTTGTGGTGGCGTTAGATGTTAGGAAACAAACATGAAGCTATGTCGTTGTATTTTAACGTTTGTACACGGCTGTAAAAAGGTAGAGCAACAAGGTGTACGACTGTTTGAACTCGTCCAACTTGTGTTGGTGAAGTTATGTGTCACCGGCTGTAGCTAACATGGGCTCGGTAATTTGCTAAAACAGTGAAGAATTAAACAGTGACGTTTGTGTAAAGGAATGTAGAGAAGCTAGCGAAAGAAGCCTGAAAATGCTCCCAAAGCTAAAGCGAGGCGTTTTACCAGCATGAGAAGCTGATATCTGTGGAGCTGGAAACTGATCCCTGTGTCGGACAGTAACAGAGGAGAGCCTGTTGACAGTTTACGTCACCATCAGCTGTTTTTTGTTAAACGTCTCTGAGCTTTGAAGGGTTTGCTGAAGGACAACCATGTTTTTTTATGTAGGGCAAATGGTGAGATTCAGGATGGGAACAAAAGGAATCAAGTAGCCTACTGAGTTATGCAAAACAGAAAGCTCAAAACTCGTGGACTGACTAAGTAATGACTAAGTATTCAAAAGACAACAATATTCTTACTTACTGTTAAGTCTATTATGTTATGTGACTCTTTTAATTTGTAATTAAGGCCAAAGCCTGATATAACCTATTCCTCAGAAACTGAAAACAAAACTGGAACTCATGGACTTTGTAACTAAAAATGAAACCAGTCTATTATAATGTATTTGATTTAAACAGACAAACATTTGGTGTTTTTTTAAGCATGACTTTAATATTCTTCATATCCTGTATTTTTAAATGTTACTGTTTTCAGGGCAAGAAGTTGATGGAAATGTGATCAAGAGAACATAATTATACTTCTAGCTGTGTGGAAAACTCTTTGAGACGACATTTAGATAAACACATAGTGAGACAACCATGTCAGTTAAATTAACTGAACATTTTTAGAAATGATACTATTTATTTGGTGTTTAGTATTCTGATTACAGCCTAGCCTGTGCTCCAATGCTGTTTAATTTTTGCTGACGGCAGCTATTGACACAATAGAGACCTTTTGCTGCACATTATGTCTTCACATTACGTGATGGCGTTAATGTAGCTTGTAGGACTAATGTCATCCCAAATATGTAGTCCGTTGTGTATGATATGTTGTCATTTAGAGACAACATGAATGCTACAAAGAAGGACAAATTACATGTTTATTTATGATCAGACTATGTCAATTATCTATAAAAATGGCAGGCTTCTTGATGTAGAGGTTTTCAGTATTTGCAATCAATCTTACGATGGATATGCATGTTTGAGGAAGACATCCAGTCATTTCATCTTGTCCCTGTCTTTGTGTTATAATGGACATAAAATAAGAATTAAAAAAAGGAGCGTCCACGGAAAGAGCAAGAGCAATTGGTAAAGCTGACATACCAAATAAAAATAAAACACCATATTGTTTTGGATTAACATAGAAGGACAAAATATACATATCCTTGCTTCCTATGCCTTTTTCTATCGGTGTTTGTTCAGTGTTTTTTTGTTGACATGTTTTCAAGTACATTTGTAAAACTGAAAAAAGTGGAGTCCTGTAGTTGATGTTCAATCTTTTGTTTAGTTTTTTTGTCATTTATATAATTTCCAGTGTTTGAGTCTTTCACAGTCAGCTAGTCTTGCCTGACCTTGTTCCAAAGTACTATGTTCAGGCTTTATAGAACTTCAACCCCTTAATGAACAGATAACAAGACTATTATCTCCAGAGCAATGAGCTTTGCTGCAATAGATGAGGTCATGAGGAAATCTTTTCTTCACATCACATGTCTGCATTGAGAGCCACAGAGGCAGATATAAAGGAGGTTGAAGTAGTTATTCTCTTGTCTGTCCTTCTCTCGCAGCCTCAGATATGGATTACAAGATTGTGTTTGCATCCTTGGAGACGGTATGTGAAGACAACATTGCTTTTCTGTGTGGATCTGATTTGCCGTACGGCGCTGTTGCCAAGCGCCTGGTGACGTGTCTGAGACAGATTCAGGAGCACGGACAGGCCCTGCAGCCGGTGGTCGGCAGCTTCACCGCCGTCTTCCACCATTATGACTTTGACGCACAAACGCCGGGGAATGGCTACCGCACACTGGTGAAGGTACGACTGACCCCTCAGCGCTCATATTTGAGCTGTGAATCCTCTCTACTCTCTTCATGCAAAAAGTGTTGTTGTGTATTTCACTTATTTCTTCTTTGTTAGTGTTTTAAAGGCATTACATCTAACATTCATAGTCATTATTATAACAATTAGGGATCCAACTAATAATTCTTCGTTATAATAGATTTATTCTAGATACATTTCATTATTATTTGGTCTTTAAAATGTCAGAAAATAATGAAACAATTTAAATATTTAAGTTTTCAATTTATGAGAAGCTGCAACAAGTGAACTTTGATATGAGTAAGGAATAACAAATGTTTTTTTATCATTGCAGCTTTCTCCAAAATGGTCCACTTTGTGTAGATAATGTACAGTATATAATTACACAACACTAACTAATTGGATCATTTGTAGCTTAGGTGTTATACTGCGTGAACATCTTAGTAGCTTAACTTGAGTAATTCATCATTTAAAAAAACGTACGTCTTCAGAACATTTTAGTTTTTTTGATGTGATATTTAGGTTCTTCAATTCCAAGCCTTACTTTTAATCAACATGGACATTTAACTGTAGTTTATTGTGGTCCGATCCAACATACCTAGCACACAACATAGTGTTTAGTCATGCAAAAAAATCCACAGCCAATAAAAAATACCCAGCAGATGCCCAATTTGCTTCTGTTAAAGTAAGGTTCCTAACAATTATAAATAAATAATATTAAATGCATGGAATGTGATGTTGTGTTATTGTTGCAACAAACAGATATTTGAAAGGGAGGCGTTGTTTGAATACTAAAAAATACTGTGTCCCTGGCTTTGTTGTGTTGAATAAAACTGATGTCATTTCTTGGCAAAAGTACCATCAACTCCCAATCCTGTCTGTAACTCTGACTGACTCTTTTATTTATAATTTGTTAACAAGAACTGAGCTCTGAGGCACAGAGAAACCTTCACTATTTCAAGCTTTGATTACAAATACTGTTCTGGGTTTGTTGAACGAAAATATCTCCCTTATCCTTACCCTACCTACCTTCTCAGGAGAAGATATATTATTATTGTTTTCTTTCTTCCAGGTGTTGCTGTCTTGCCTTTTGCACATCATTCACAAGGGACGCTACATTGCCTCTAATTACAACAGTGCCTTCTTCAGGGCGGACCACAATGCCTCAGAGATGGAGGCGTACAGCAGCGCTCTGTGCCAGCTGCGCGCCTTGCTCCACCTCGCCCAGCGGCTCCTCAACGACAACGAGTACGGCCAGCTGTACGCGCTGCAGGACGGGGACCTGAGCGGCAGGTTCGTGCAGGAGTACAGCTCCATGCATAAAGCCTGCTTCTACGGACGCTGCCTCGGCTTTCAGGTCAGACAGCAAACACTGAATGAATCACTAAAACTAAATAAAAACATTATACTTTAAGAAAGAACATTAACTTCCTGGTTAATTAAAACCCAAACTTCCTGGTAAATTAAGTACAATTAATAAATCATTTCTGTTAAAACTACTTTGAGTGTGATAATATAAGGGTATTCCCAAATTTGAATATTTTAACATTATGGCCATCATTTTTAGTTCTTCAACCATGTATTCTGTATATTTAATTAAAAGTCAACACTAAAATATAAATTCAAAAATTCAAAACATATTCATTATTGTGATTTTCTTTAATTTAATTTACTAATTTAATTTAATGAAATATAAATAATTTATTATAACCTTGCTTTGTGTATATTTAGTCAAATTTTCCGTCCAATAGAGTAGGTTTTTTTCAACTAAACGTGATTGAAATACATTTTATTCAAGCCTCCTGATTGTTCTGATCACTCAATAGAGTGGCGAAGTCCCTCCCCTTCCGGTGGACCTCCATGGGACCTTATTTCGGAAAAATTATGTATTGAAGTCAATGGAGAGAGAAAGATTATCTTTCGATCCCGTTTGAATTGTGCCACGAATTACACATATGATGTTTGTCAATTTAAAAGATAATTTTGCAAGTCAAAAAAAAAAAAATGTGTCGTAAAACTGTGAAGTAACACATTTGTTTGTGTGAAACGCTCAATGAACTACATCTCTGGTCAACAACACACGTCACCAAGATGGCCGTCACTACTGTCTTGTCAACACAACGATTGACTATCCTCACTATCACCACAATGAAACACGTCCTGAAGAATGTCATGCAAAGCTGCCTGCCTGCCTTCCTTTGATTCTCTCTGAACTGCCTGGTCGTTTTAATGTTTAATGTCAACCATTTGTGCAGATAGCATGAAGTAGAAAAGATCGCTAGCGTTAGCGTTAGCATTTCTCCCCCGGGCTTAAATTGTGTATTATAGAATGATCACACCGGTGACAGTACTCTTCAAAGGGTTCACGAAATATGACTACTACTCTTACTGTTTAACATTTTGGGTTACTTAATGTTACTTCATGTTAAGGCTAATAAAAATGACAAGGCTGTAATGCTAACTAACGTGCTAGCTACTAGCTAGGTAGCTAACTTGATCCAGCCACTCCTGGTCCTTTCATCAGACGGGAAGCAAAAGAACGAGCAAGACCCATTGCTGGTATAATAACAACCTGGTACTAAGCACACAGGCATCTTGTTAAAGTTATCTTATCTTAGCCAGCGCCATATAGATAGATTATATCTATATGGCGTTATCTTATCTTAGCTATCTCTATTTTAGTGGAGGAAAACAATTGTGACATCACTTACGCGACTCTGGGATTTGTAGTCTTTCTAGTTGCGTATTTTTCATAGTCTTATATTTCAACAGTTTTACGACAAACTGTGACTTTTTTGACATGGAAATGATTTTTTAAGATTGACAAACATCATATGTGTAATTCATGGCACAATTCAAACGGGATCGAAAGATAAGTTTTCTCTCTCCATTGACTTCAATACATTATTTTTCCGAAATAAGGTCCCATGGACCGGAAGTAGATGGGCGTGACTTCGCCACTCTATGAGCACCTCTCACTAACAACCAGTTCAATATAAATATTAATCGTAAATATTAATATTCTAATCTGTTCTTAAGTTTAGTCTGTTTTGGCTTCATTAAAAGAAAGTATACAGTATGTCCCTTGTTTATATTATATGAAGCTAAAGCTTGTATTATTAACGGTTCAATGTTTCTTTCCACAGTTCTCACCGTCTCTCCGACCGTTCCTCCAGACCGTTGTCATTAGCATGGTTTCATATGGAGAGACATTTGGTAAACAGCAGTCTGGCTTGGGTAAGTATTCTTTTCTTTCATTACTCTCCATTATGTATTGATGAAATGTCCCGTTGTGCCTTGTTCAGATGATTTCATGCTTAAAATCCTCCCTCCTCTTCCAGGTTTGGCCGCCCTTTCCCTTCTCACATCAGGGAAGTACGTGATGGATCCAGAGCTGCGGGGCGCTGAGTTTGAACGCATCACCCAGAACCTGAACATGCAGTTTTGGAAGTCCTTCTGGAACCTCACAGAGTCCGGCCTTTTGACAGTAGGCAGGGGCAAATATTCTTCTATTGGCTCTCAAATGATATAAAATCCTCTTTAATGTTTTAACGGCATGTCTTTCTCTGTGCAGGGCTTCAGCAGAATAGCTTCCAGCCCGGTGCAGATAAACCTGACCCTGACTGTGCCTCCTGTGACTCTGCGCCTTCCCCTGGCTTCGGACCCCAGACTAACAGCCACCATTTCTCCTCCCATAGCCCACTCGGGCCCCGGGCCGGTCCACATGCGCCTCATCTCCCATGAGCTTCGAGTAGGACAGGTGAGGCGGCACAGGGGAGAGGAACGTGTTCAGGGAAACAGATAGGAATCAGACATAGCTTCATCTGCAGACAATAATAATGATTACTTAGACCAGGGGTGGGGAACCTTTTTCCTCTCAAGGGCCATTTCAATTTTTTCAACATCCTCCGAGGGCCGTACAAATTATTGACCTCTGCTTAAAAAAACTAAAATCTCAGCCCATTAATTTTGCCTTTCTTTCATGCTGTGCAAAGAAAAAGCAACCTCTTAATCCAGATATCTTACCATGACTCGCGCATGCACGCACGTGCACGGTTGTGGCATGACCACCAAGACAGAAAGATATGGACACAAGATGTGTGCAAATGTATTTAGTTTGCTATCCATGTGGACATGATTTAAGTGGGGGGGGACCTAACCTCCTCTATGGGGGGTCCGGGGGCATGCTCCCCCGGGAAGATTTTTTTTTTTTAAATGTTGAAGTTAAAAGCATTAATCTGGTGCACTTTGAGAGCAACATTAAGAGATCTATAGATACATCTCTCAACACCCATATGAAACAGAACTGTAAGCAGATTTTCTTTTTCTTTATGGATATTTTACAAATCACTCTCCTTTCAAACTGTATTCTTGTTTATTAATAACAACTTTTTTTTTACTGTTACATAGTATTTTATACCTGTTTACTTTATTCTCTTATTTTTGTATAACTATAATGATCATATAAAGATGTGCCTTTACCTCACTGGTTGTAGAAAAAGCTTCTTATATTCGTTAGCATAGCTAGCTAACCAGATGCTAATAACAACAAAGTTATTGACTGTATGATCAGTATGACAGATGAACAGATCGCCACTGGGCTTACAACTAAAGACACAGCCACGCAAAAACTGCGGCATGTGTACGGCTCCTTATGGGTACTGCCATTTTTGAAGTGCCGGAGCGGCGTTCTGGTGCTTTCCTTCAGAACTGCACCCCTGTCAGATGACACGTTTGGCTCGTGTTGTGTTCAAGGACCCTGACCTTGGCCAGGAAAAACAGGCACTCGCTTGTTTAATTCTTTTGCGGTCTAGATTTATTTAATTTTTTTAATGTGCGTGTGTTTATAAATTACCTCGAGGGCCGTATCAAATGGTCTCGCGGGCCGTATACGGCCCGGGGGCCAGAGGTTCCCCACCCCTGACTTAGACAAACACTACTTTGATAAATTCATTTCATTTCAGCATCCACTTTCATGCTATGTTTAGTTAATTTAGTTTACTTTGGTTGTTTTCAACACAAATACACACGTATATAAATGTAAATGCTTGAAATAATGTCAAATCCAAGCCTTATTTTATGCGAATTACACCTACATTATTTGTGTTGTATGTGTAAGCCCAAGCTTTTTAAAATAAATGTTAAATACACACTAGTGTTCATACATTCGTTATTACAAAAAATATATATGTCCGAAAAATGTGTCTTTTCTAAGACGGGAAAAGAAAAAGTATTTTATTTCTGATACAAAAACAAAAAGAAATATTCTGAAGGTTTAAAGATTTATATTTTGACGTCAAACATATGGGAAAATGTGTTATTGATTTGTGTCCTTTATTGATAATGACATGATGACCTATCCTCTAACTTACAGGAGAGTGAAGAGCTGCTTAGTTATTCTCGAGACGATCCTCCCCCCATCACAGCCTCTCAGCTCCCCTGGGTGCAGAAGCAGCCCCGCTCCCCCTGGCTGCTCATCCACTTCCACGGGGGGGGCTTTGTGGCCCAGACTTCCAGATCCCATGAGGTAATGCACATGCTGGGGTTAATCTTAGCTTATCTCATGGGATTTATCTTTGTCAAATGTTCAAAATATTCAGGAATACATTAAAAAATAATCCCCTTATCAATAACAAATTGATATGATGAATCAAAATGTTATCAAAATGTCAATATGGACTAGTGCAATATGCAGTTTTATGAAGCTGGACAAGTCATGGCCAACTTGTATTTGGTAGAAATCATCTTAAGAAATCCGTCCATGATCATTTTCATTTACAACATTTACGTTGTTGTTTTTTTTTATTCTCTGTCAAAGTCTTTGAGTTTCTAGAAAAGCGCTATACAAGTATCATGTATTATTATTATTATTATTATTATTATTATTATTATTATTATTATTTCATATTTAAATGACAATGTGAATAATGTTTAAAAAATGGTCATTCCCTCTAATATCGCGATGAGTTAAAGTAATTGCAATTGGTTACTTTCTTCCAAATCGTGCAGCCCTACTATAATGTACAGAATATCAAAGGCCCCCCTTTCCCACCATCTGTTCTCTTACTCGTCCTTGATATACATCCTACCACTCGTACCCTCTCAGCAAGCTAAAACTGTTTACTGAATACAAATAATAATAATAACGATGGCAACTATAGAGGAAATTACGCAAAAGTGCACAAAAAACAAAACACACAAGACTCAAATACGTTTTACATAAGGCTAGTACTACCACGATGTATAATACTTGTAATCCCCTCCTAATAAAAGTAATTTAAAGCACATTAAGCCGATCTTTCAATCCACAAATTGATGTTTTAACCCAATATTTGTTAATAAGCATGTTTGCATTACATCATACCTCATTATTCTGCTCTCTTGAATCAGAATTATCTCCGGATTTGGTCGAAGGAGCTCAATGTTCCCATTCTCTCCGTGGACTACTCTCTGTCACCTGAAGCGCCTTTCCCCAGAGCTCTGGAGGAATGTTTCTACGCCTACTGCTGGGCTCTGAACAACTGCCATCTGCTGGGTACGTGCACAGCCTCACACTGAGACCATACACTAAACCCGTAGGGAGAATAATGTATTTGGTTTAAACAGATTCATATGTACAAAGAACGTAAATTGATTGTCACTTATAAGGAAGGGAATTATTTTTAGTCTCGAGATTTCAGGGTGTGTTTGTATTTTTTGCCATCAATTGTAAGAGGTTTAAGCATATATGTGATCATACAGTATGTATTGTTCAAAGAGGGCAAAAGAGAAGTTGTTCACCCCTTACAAATGTTCACTTTCCATATGCACAGATTGTACCAATTTTGTATGAGGTGATAGTGGTTGGAGGAGGGGCGCATTATGTACTCAAAGCAGCATGTGAACTGTTATTTGTACACTATCAGTATATGGAACATGGAAAGGGTCATCTGGGCCCAGTCCCATGCAGAAAAGGTGGAACAAATAGAGACCTAAAAACTAAACTGATAATGATAGGATTAAGGATTAATGGTATTTTGTCTGTTTCAAAGGAATTTGTATTGTATATTAATTTGCTGATTTTGTTTTCATTTATTGTTTCATCTTTAAAATATAACAAATGACATCACCAAGTGACTTTTTGTCCAACCAACTGTCTTAAATAAAAAATAATTGAATTTACACTGATAATACATATTGAAACGCAGGGATTCCTAAATATTAACTTATTGTTTCGCGTGAAATGGTTGTGTAAAACGATTTAGATCACGGCTGCTCGATAGGAATGTGACAGTGCAGTTGAAAATTGCACTTGCATACATTGTGGTAAAGAAAAAACAAGATTTAAGTCTACTCCGTTGTGCTTGAATAAAAACATATTGATCAAAAAACTGATCAAAAAAGACATATTTTCAAATAATTAACATTTTAAAAGAATTTCACATTTTCAACTTAGTCAAAATAGCCCCTAGTGTAATATTGCATCTGAACCAGGCATTGCAACAACAATAAAAAAAAAACATATATATTCAGCTACCATCATTTGGATCAAAATGGCTACCACACAACGTGTCTTATATATATGGCTGAAAGGCTCATCATTATTTGGGTTGTAACAGTTCTGTGTGTGCCTCAGGCTCCACAGCAGAGCGTGTTTGCCTGGCGGGGGACAGCGCTGGAGGGAACCTCTGCATCACCGTGTCCATGAAGGCCATATCCAGCGGCATCCGAGTCCCCGACGGCATCATGGCTGCCTACCCCGCCACCCTGCTCACCACTGACGCCTCGCCCTCCCGCCTGCTCACGCTCATCGACCCGCTGTTGCCTCTGGGTGTTCTCACAAAGTGCATCAATGCCTATGCAGGTATGTGGGTGTGTGTGCTGCTTCACACTTCATTTAAAGTGGACCTATCATGCTATATTTGAATAATATAGTGTAGGACCATACCTATATAAGGCATATTTATACTTTTTTTTTTCAAAATACCAAACAGATCATGCATTTTAGCCATGCCTCATTTCGCTCAATTTGAAAAATGTTAGCTCTGTTTATGCAAGGGTTGATTCAGTGAGAACAGCACCATCTACAGGCCTGGCATATGTACTACAGCGTCTCCAGCGCTTTCGAACGGCAATGGCCGTGGCTGCAGGGCTCGAGCTTAAGGACCTCCCGTCGCCCCGGGGCCGAAAAAAATCGGGTCGGGGAGGATACAAATTAATTTTGGGACGAATTTGGGACGAGAGTTAAAATAAAAATACCCTGCTAACTCTACTACGCACGGCGATGAAAATGAAACTGACTGCACGTTTTGTGTAGCACACAGTTATTAAACCTCCTTGTCAACATAAAGACATACAAAGCATTTAGCAACCCGCGAAATACACACACACACAGTACGTATAGCTACAGTTGTCAGCCAGCCGTACAGCTGTGATGTAACTACCATTTTTTTACCCCGGAGCGGTGCGGAGAAACGAAACTTAACTTATGAAGCAGCTTTTGACGGCGCGCTATGCATGGGGCACCCGAGAGGGGGTTTCCAGACATGTCATTGCAGCTGAGATGAGAAATCTCCATCGCATGTAGTCCTTAGCAATATGCTGCGCCTCTCCCCATGTAGGGATGGGTACCGAGCCCCGGTATTAAACGGGCCCCGGGCCGGAATTATTAAAGACAGTGGTAGAGACATTTAAAACATATATGTCATATGTATTATTGCTACATGAACATTATATTGCAGTTTTAGTTTCGCCAACTCCGTTTCTAATATGCAATAAGACTACAAAATGCGTCTATGATGTATTTTCGATCTTATTTTCGATCTTTCCAATCCAGACGAGAGAGCTCTCTCCTGTGTGCGAGGGGGCGGGGCAGTTTGTAAAGGTCTCCTGACTGTGTTACAGACTGTCATCCTGGTTAGTGGTTACTCTGGGTTCTGTCTTCAGGACAGAGTGTTGGATTTTGTTGTTAATCGGATGGGACTTGATTGGATTCAATATTAGAGCAACTTTCTCGCTTGTGTGTTTTTTTTAAATATATTTGGCCTTTGTTTATGTGTTTGACTGATTGACTCAAATAAAAAGGTTGATGAATTATCATCTAATGATTTGTATGATGTTTTATTTATGTTAAAGGTCACTTTGAATGATTTTAACTAATGATAATGTAGAAAAACAAATATTTTAAATTCGGGACGGTCCACATTAATTTCGGGACGGCTTAGATTGTATTTCGGGACGGTTCCGGGAGGATGGTGAAAAAAGTTAGTCGAGAGCCCTGCGTGGCTGTCTCCTCCTGATTGGTGGAGTTGGCCCAATAGCCGTAGCGCCACTGTCCTGACGTCAGGACAGTGTTCAAATCTGGATCAGTCTGTATCAGATCCGTTGCAGCCCCTTTTTTAGAGATTTGGGTATGGAGGAAAATAGAGAGGGTTGTGTTTTCTGACACTTGGTGAGTTCCCTGGAACACCGGGGACACGTATTCATGTATAAAAGACGTACAAAAGTGCATTTTGCATGATAGGTCCCCTTTAACACAAGAGCACTTTCCGGTGCCACTGGAACAGAAAATAAAACCTCAGAGGGATTTATGCTTAAACCGGATAATGTGGGTGGAAAACAGGATGATAATAATTAACAACCTGCTTACCCGTACTGTCAAAGCCATGATCACTCCTACTCTAAATATATACTGTGTATTAACCCGTGGTCTGTTTGTCAGCCTTATATTATACGTAGTATTGCTGGAAACCTCTGATATGTCTGTCACTGAGTAAATGTCAGCCTTTGCAGACCATTTACATGCACACACATCTATATAACACACTACAGGAAAGGGAAAACCCAGAAAGCATAGCAGGACCTTTTTTATTTTCATAAAACAATGGTATTTATCATTTATGCAATGTTCTTCATTCTTACTTACAAGTCTTCTTGTAAGCAACTTATGCATATGTGACCCGCTCTATCGAAATCAGTCGGAAGTCGCAACGGCTCATTTCAAAATAAACGTGGATTTGTGTAAAAAACTATTTTTTCGGGGTTCGGGTGTTTTGTTTGATTTTAAATAAACAAAGTCTTGGCTTTCAGAATATGAAACTTTTATTTCCAAAATCACACGATAAATACATTTTTGAAGCTTGTAAAGGGAAGATGACCGCTCTCACTCGCACCCTGCTGTTCCGCAGCGCTGTTTCCCCTCCCTCCGGCGTATAGTAATCATAGATAACACGGCAGGGTCCGTGACAGTTTGTTTTCATCTGATTTCAAATAAACAAAGTCTTGGCTTTCAGAATATTAAACTTGTTTTGGCAAATTCAGATGATAAATACAACTTTATTAACGGCATAATTACAAGCGGAGAACGGAGTAACTTGACGTCACAGCAGGCATAACAACAGCCGGTGTTTCTCGTGAGTGTTTTCCCCGGGAAACAAACACAATACACACAAACGCAAAATTACACAAACACACACACACACACATACATACACACACACTCTCGCGAGCTTCCCCCAGACCAGTAATCCAAACGAAAATATTTTCCCTCCGTAGTATTTTGATCATTTGCTAATAATCAATCGGATCGATGGATTCCAGAGTAGAGGAAACTTTGAAGGTCTTTTTCTCAAAATGATGACTCGGTGACAGTCATTGTATAATGTGACATATTTTGCTTAATATTTGGAGTACAAAAACAATCCTGATATCATTAGAAAGCTAGGAATCTCCTCTTTCCAACAGTGTATACAACTCAAAATGTGTGTTCGGGTCAATGCGACTGATTTCGACCCAATCCAAAACATACGCGCTCTCGCTAAACTGTACTACGACGCTGGTTATCAAGTGGATCGCTCAAGCCAGCCGTGTCCTATCTAGTTAGGTGCGCGTTCACATGAAAGGGGTGGTATTTGGAGCATTCGACCAATCTCAAACACGGACAAGCGTACTGACAGCGCAGCGTCATACTTCCTGAATGAAAAGTGAACTTTAATATTAGTCAAATATGAAGAAGTTAAACTTTAAACATCCATGACTTAAACACTTTATCCAGGATAAAAGCCACATAGCTGCACCTGCAAGGTGAATACAGCTGGTAAAAGAAAAAGTGTTTGAATGCGTACATTAACAGGTTTATGATATCACTGCTGTGTCCAAGACACGAGTGGATCTGACTTTAATTACATTTGACTCGAGTGTTTCGTCAACTTAATGTGTTGCTTAAAATAATACTTCTGCATACAGTATGTGACACTGTGAGTGTTGCACGGCCAGATACGGCTCAAGAAGCTGACTCAGATAAGGAAATATATGATACATTATGATGTGATATGATATGAATGATAATGGGACTCATCGACGTCTGCACTCACAGTGCCGCGGACTGTACTTAATGTTACTCTGATCCGGTTACTTATGTTGTGGCAGATATTTAAGTAAGCTTTCTTAACGCTAATGTTATAATAGTCAGATTGCTCTGAAGATGGGAGGGGATATTCTATTAATGTTCACGTTCATACAGTCAGTTGATTTTTGCCGGCCGTCTTTCCTGCAACGGCAGTTTTTCTGTATTTCCTTTATCCTGTAATATGACTTGATAGCTTTAAACTCCGCACACTGAGCTCTGATTGGTCAGCAGGCGGTGCTTTCACTGAGTTGATCTCTTAGCCTGCAACCTAACCTGCTCCGGAGCAGGGGGGTATACTACGAATCTAGTTCAACATATCCTGGATATGTTTTGAGTTATCCGGCTGACTAAATCCAAAAAAAAAAAACGCTCTCGCTAAACGGTCCTACGACGCTGGCTATCAACTCGATTGCTAAAGCCAGCCGTGTCCTATCTAGTTAGGTGCGCGTTCACATGAAAGGGGTTGTATTTGGAGTGTTCGACCAATCACAAACATGGACAAGCCGTGTACTGACAGCGCAGCGCGTCATATATTTCCTGAATGAAAAGTCAACTAATATTAGACAAATATGAAGACGTTAAACTTTAAACATCCATGACTTAAACACTTTATCCAGGATAAAAGCCACATAGTTGCAGCTGCAAGGTGAATACAGCTGGTAAAAGAAAAAGTGTTTGAATACGTTCATTAACAGTTTTATGATATCACTGCTGCCCCGTCTAAGACACGAGTGGATCTGACTTTAATTACATTTGACTCGAGTGTTTCGTCAACTTAATGTGTTGCTTAAAATAACACTTCTGCATACAGTATGTGACACTGTGAGTGTTGCACGGCCAGATACGGCTCAAGAAGCTGACTCAGATAAGGAAATATATGATACATTATGATGTGATATCATGTGATATGAATGATAATGGGGTACGTCTGCACTCGCAGTGCGCGGCACTGCGAATGCAGACGTACCCCATTTAGGCTACGTAATGTTACTTTGATCCGGTTACTTATGTTGTGGCAGATATTTAAGTAAGCTTTCTTAACGCTAATGTTATAATAGCCAGATTGCTCTGAAGATGGGAGGTGATATTCTATTAATTTTCACGTTCACACAGTCGGTGATTTTGGCCGGTCGTCTTTCCTGCAACGGCAGTTTAAACTGTATTTCCTTTCTCCTCCTGTCATATGAATTGATCGCTTTAAACTCCGCACACTGAGCTCTGATTGGTCAGCAGGCAGTGCTTTTATCCTGGAACCTATCCTGCTCCGGAGGATAGCCGTTCAGAATAAGTTATCTAGCCCGCTAAAAAGTGAACCAGCTTCGTAGGACCGCAAACCCCTGAAGTTAGCTTGCTAAACGAAAATCTTGATTCGTAGTATAGCCCCCAGGTTAGCCGCTCAGCATAAGTTACCATGGAGATCTAGCCCGCTAAGAAGTGAACCAGCTTCGTAGGACCGCAAACCCCTGAAGTTAGCTTGCTAAACGAAAATCTTGATTCGTAGTATAGCCCCCAGGTTAGCCGCTCAGCATAAGTTACCATGGAGATCTAGCCCGCTAAAAAGAGAACCAGCGTCGTAGGACCGGAAAGCCAGAGTTTTCCCTGAAGTTAGCCCGCTAAGCGAAAATCCAGCTTCGTAGTACAGGCCTCTGGTCACATATGTGCTGGAGTCACTGATCTGACTGTGGTCTTTTTTTAGGAGTCATAAATCCGCACCAGTGGCAGGGCCTATATATGCATATGATATGGAAAATGCCATGTGTTGGCTGCTTTGAGCCATGTTACATGACGCTGAAACGATGAGACACTCAATGTGTGGCATTTCCCTGATTTTGATAAAGCTTGTTATGTGCTGTTTTGAGAGGAAAGTGGTGTTATGTAAGCAGCGGAAAATCCAATCAGTGCTTTGTTTCCCAAAGCAAGTCAACAGGATTATGGTTTTACATCTGCATGAAAGCTTTGTGGTTAGACTGATTCTTTATTTGGTGTGAACAGTCTGTGTAATCCAGCATTGTCTAATGATGTGACCCACACATAGAAACAATTAGCTGATTTAAGTAACTTCTTATCCCGTCTATCAAATGTTCTAAAAATGTTATCGCCTGTATAAGATAGGATATTATTTTCAATTATATTCAAGGATAAAATAGATGATCTGTAGCCAAAAAGCCTCCGTATGAGTACAGCAGGCTGAGTAATGACAGCATGTTGTTGCCATGTAAACAATGTGTTTACTGTAAAGGAGAACAAACAAATATAATCAGGATGTATTGCAGAGCCCTCTTAAACACACTGAATGTGTACAGTACAGTAGTTTTCATCTCTTTTTCATATTGTTTTCTCTTTAGTTTTGTTCATTTGCCACCGAAATGTAACCATGTTTATTCATGCAAGTAGTAAAGGACGCTTTGACTACAAAAAAACAACTCCTAAAATACAGCTAAGTTTATCTGCGTTTGACATAGAGCTTCAAAAATGTATCTGATAATTGATTATTTGCTCGAAAACTGTTTCGTAGTTGCAAAAAATAGCTGAAAAGGCTGTTTTCATTGCTGTTATTTTCATATTCAATAAATACCTTAAATAAAGTCAAGTAAAGATATCACCTGGTTTTGATATGGGAGTGAATCTTTCAACTTTTTTCTAACATATGTAAAATAATTGACAGATGAATCGGTAATGAAAATATGTAGTGAGTTGCAGCTCTAGTCTGACACATCTACATAGTGAACAGAGAAACTTTAGACATAAATGATCCGTGGTCGCATCCTTAAAGGCACATTCATGTTGCCTTTTTCTTTCCCTCACGTCTCTGTTTTCTGTCTAACACATGACGTCATCCTCTCCCTCCCAGGCACAGACAGTCAGACGGTGCAGCCTGCAGTGGAGAGCAGCAGTCTGAGCGCTCTGGGCAGAGACACCGTCGTGCTGCTGGGTGATCTCACTCAGGGGGCCTCCAACTGGATCCAGTCCTTCATGGACCCCACGCGGACCACCGGCGGAGCACGCTCACTGTCGTCCTCTCAGAGAAGCTATCAGAGCGATGAAACTGGCAGGACACCCTCTCTCACCTCCACACCTCATTGTGGAAGTGACTCGGATTACCCAGAGGGCTTTAAGCCCCTGCGCTCGGAGTGCCTGGCCTTTGTGAACCCAACTTCCTGCCCCATCATCAGGAACCCGTTTGTGTCGCCGCTGTTGTCTCCCGACGAGCTGCTGAGAGGCCTGCCGCCTGTGCACATCGTGGTAAGAGAGGGGGGAGGAGCGGAGGGAGGCTGAGGGTGAGAGAGAGGTTGTTGCTGCTTTCAAATGGGGTGGGTGGTGTTCACTGTGTTCACAAGAAGAACCCATTGAAACGCCTCCCATGTGGTATTCACAAACACAAGCTCAGAGTTCCCCAAGTCAATCAATATCAGAATCACAATACTTTCTTTATCATATTTTATTAGAATTACATGCTTTTTCATAATACAATTAACAATACAAAGACAACATTTAATTAAAATAGGTAATACAAAAATATGTATACAAACCAAAGTAAAAATGGGCAGTAGGAAGATCAAATCAAAGAGAAATGTATTTGCTGATGTGGTCAGAAATGTCAGGAGCCATGGAAATGTGCTGCATAATAACTTGTTTATTGTAATACAAATATTTGGTATTTTATTGTAGAGTTTTTCCTGAATTGAATCAATATACTTTTATTTATTATATTTATTTTCTGTTAAATTTGGAAAATAGGTTTTGTAACAGTTGCTTTATTTTTCAATACAAATAAATACAAAGACAAATTAAAAGAACATAGAATAAAAAGATGCATACAAACATAAGAAGTTAGAGTAAAATTGTGCGATTATAAAATAAAATAGTTCACGGAAGTTCATTTTTATTGTTTAAAATAATATAATAATAATATGTGTGACTTGAGCAGAGGCACATACAAATTCTAGATGAAGTTATAGGGGCAATCTGTACGATTTTTTAATAAAAACCTTTAAGCCGATTATAATTCAAGAAGTGTTGAATTACAGAAAACTACACTTCTTGACCTCCACGTGACCTTGTTTTTTAGAACTTGTACAATCACAGGCCAATTCAGAGAGAGAGCTTTCCTATTTCCTTTCCTATATAGCTGTTCTACCAATGCATATGCAATATTCAATGAGATATCCAGCAGGAAAGGTTACTACTCCAGCATTGTAGCACTGCCTTTTCCAGAAAACTGCAAAATCACCAAATAAATCTAAATGTATTCTTACACAAAAATAGAGTCTGCAGTATTGTAAAATACATAAACTTGTTTTAATTCTATTATAGAGCTAGACCAATAAATCTTCCAGGCTGATATTACTTTATTGCAGATATATCAGTACAAATGGCTATAGAACTAGGTTTGAGGTTTTTTGTATTGCTTGTTTCCTGATTGGTCCATGTGTCCTCGCAGGCCTCAGCTCTGGATGCCTTGCTGGATGACTCTGTGATGTTTGCCAAGAAGCTGCGAGACATGGGCCAGCCTGTGAGCCTGACGGTGGTGGAGGACCTGCCTCACGGCTTCCTCAGCCTGTCGCAGCTCTCCAAGGAGACGGAGGGCGCTGCGGAGATGTGCGTGGAGCAAATGAGGGCCATTTTTCAGCAGGAAGACCAGAAGCCTGCACTCCGCAAACGGCCAAAGCTGGAAGAGACCTATCAGAGTAGCAGTCCATCATCGGGCTGATTTATCAGCCATGAGTGGGACTTTGTAGTTCTTGGATGAAAAAGAGATCTGACATGAGTTGGTGGGAGACAAGCAATACATTTTAGAAAAAGGAGAGAATTATGAAGAAATAAGTAGAGGAAGCTTAGGCACGCTGCACTTGAAACGATCAAGAAGAAACAGCTACTAAATGATGACAAATGGTGAAATAATGGAGTATTTTTCTAAAAAGATTTAGATTTAGATCAAACGCACATTGAGGATATATCAGACTCCACTAAAACCAGCCTTTTGATTCATTTCTTCTTGTAAAAAAAGGCTATTGTGCCTTTATTTTAAAGAGCTGCTCCAAGTATACGAGCTTCGCCTACATTACGGCACAAACAAGTTGACTTGCACAGGGAAAACATTCCACATGCACTGTATTATTATTATGAATAGTATAATATAAGGATGAAATAGATAATCTGGTTATTGCCAGTGTTAGTAGTAGTCACGTGTTTACAACATATTAAAAGGAGGCCTTCACCCTGTGGATCTGGGTTATGAATGTAACTTGTTGTACTGTAAATTCATTATTATATTTGTTGATATAAATATTTAACCCTGAATTAAATCAAAACAGTAAAAAATGATTGCTTGTGCTTATTCAGGTTCAGGTTATTTATTTGTACCTGAAGGTAGATTTGGTACCGCATGCTCCATCACATTCCAAAACCACTAGTAAAAACATGAAACAATCAACTCACACTTCGATTGGGTAGCAGGACATCTCTTAAGTGGTTGACCAATCACAACAGAGCCGGCCAGCTAACCAATCAGAGCAGACTGGGCTCTGGTTTCAGACAGGTACTGCAGCACAGGCAGTATGAGAAAGAGCTTTCTGAACATTAAAGCATGGAGACATGTCACATGGAGACAATAACAGTCATCTACATACTTTAAAATGTTCCTATTGTCCCGACTGCTCTGACACACAGAGTATAAATACAAATGGTAAAAGGACACATGCCCAGTGGAGGAGCCAAGGATCTCATTCACCTTCACTCTTTGTGGGCTAAAAAAATCATGAATCAAGAATCCAGCCCATAAATAGTTTCCATTTAGGCTTTTCGAAATATTTCCGCTTAGCAGCAAATGTGTTATGTCCTCTGTTCACAACCTTTTCTGGCAGTCACCGGATGAACCTCCTGACCCTTTTAGATTAGAGTAAATCAGAAATCTTAATTGAGTCCACTATGCCATAAATTGCGCTTACTCTTAACATTCATTATGAAGAATCTTTGTAAAAACAAATCCATGTTAAATGGAATGTCCTGGTTATTACTACTGTACACATGCCTTCAATTACTGACAGAATAACCACATTGCAACACATTCCCCCCCCCCCTGGCAGAATTACATTATTTATTTAACGCAGCTTTACATTTCCCACCATACGGGATAAGCGGTCGTCGCAGATGTCCGAGTTCCCATACGGTACATGATGTGTTTCATTCCCTTTAATCAGCTGTCTGATGTTGACGTGGTAAGCAGAGCCACTATAAAGTGAGGAGGTAATGGGCCACCTCCCTTACACCACAGCCACCATGCTGCTCCTCACTGTGCTCCTGTTGGTTGCTACCAATGGTAAGTTTGAGTGGAAACAAAGCTTTTGCTGGATAGGTTTCAAAAATTCCTTTGCATGGTCCATTTTAGAATTGTCAGAGTCATGGGTTTGCTGGACGAAGACAATGTTCATGTGTTTTTAAAATAACAGGCTAACAACAATGTGCAGTTCACAGTAGAAATACTATGATCAGGAAGTATTTGAAGTACTTGTTATGCAGAATGGCTCTTTTAACGTCTTATCGAACAGTACTGTTTTTTTTATCACAAACAAATACATTCATTTTAATGTTTGTCAAATGTGAGCCAATTCACGTTATTTACATTTTATTTAAATAAAATATGTCATCACATGAAATGTAAGCATATCATGTGATTTAATATATACAAATGAACTGGTATTTATTTTAAATATATGTAGCAGTGTTAAAAAAGTACGAGATATTCCTCCTAAATGTAGGGGAGGTGAAAGTACATGTAGTATTACATTTAACAACACTCAAGTAAAGTACAAGTATGTCAAAATAGTACCAAATATTCGAGTAAATGAATTGTATTACAATCACAGCTGATAGACTTAATCAGGGCGTGTGTTCTGCTTCTTTCATGCATGTTTTCTGTGTGCCCCTTCCTCTCCCTCACTGCCTCACACTCAGCTGCCCTGGGCTTTGATGATAAGATCGTGGGGGGGTACGAGTGCAGGGACCACTCTGTCCCCTGGCAGGTATCCCTCAACAACGGCTGGCACTACTGCGGAGCGACCCTGATCAACGAGCGATGGGTCCTCAGCGCTGCTCACTGCTATAAGTGAGTTAGGCACAGTGGTGAAAAGCAACTTTGACCTACCTTCCACTGCACTACAATTCATTACATTAATACACACTAAGCTAACAATATCTTGTTTTTATTGATTTCATTTAAGAACAGCCAGTTTTGCACAACCCTCCAAATATGTGTGCCCATTTGTACTCAAGCTATCTCTCTTAATATCTGCACATCTACTTTTCATAACAATGCTGGACATATTTTATTTTATTTTATTATGAGTATTTTGTCATACATGTAGTATACTGTACGGTACGTAGTTTTTTGGTATATCTATGTAAATCATTTTCTATATCTCAAAGTTATAATCGTTTGTTTTTTTAAATATTTTTTCTATACATTTTTTTTGTGGTTGTTTTCTTCTACATTTATCTTCTTTACCTGTGTTTATGTATGCACCTTCTACATTTATCTTCTTTACCTGTGTTTATGTATGCACCTTCTACATTTATCTTCTTTACCTGTGTTTATGTATGCACCTTATACATCAAGGCAAATTCCTGGAAAGTGTACTTGGCATAAACCTGTTTCTGATTCTGATTTGGAAGCAGGTACTTTTGACTTCACTACATATATTTTACAGCTTTTGTCACTAAATAATTTGCAAATGAGATTATAAATTCAGAATATAAATCATGATGTATTATTTGAAGTCAAGCTACCAATCAGTATATCAAGTCATTTGAATAATTGCCACATTTTTTTTTAATGTTGATCACATTAATGCATCGATCATTATAATACAATCAGTGGTGAATAGTAACATTTACTCTACTATTGTGATGTACTTGTACATTACGTTTTTTCCGTTTGGAAGCAAATATTGTACATTTTACTCCACTACATTTATTTTACAGCTAAATGTACTAGTTACTTTTAAAATGCTGTTTATTAGTTAATACAAAAAAATAAATAAACTTGTCGTTTTTATACTTGGTATAATCATAGGTTAAAATATCAGAACCTCAAATATGTATTCAAATAAGCCCTACATTTAACAGCTGTAATGAACACATGAATGCATCATCAATCATAATGCAGTCATTTGATACTGCATTATGTATATGATTCTGAAATTGGCCACTATGCATTTACAAGTACTTTTACTTTTCGTACTTCAATCATATTTTGATGGAGATACCTTTGTACTTTTACTTAACAGGTAACATTTTAAATGCAAGACTTGAAGACTTGAAGCAGAGGATCTTTACACTTTATAAATGCTAGTAATCTGAATACTTCTTCCATCACTAAATACAGTTATTTCATATATTTGATTCTGAAATGGGGTTGTTCTGCACTCAAAGTACATTTTGATGCAAATACTTTGGTTCTTTTACTTGAGTGAAATGTTCACTGCAGGACTTTTACTTGTGAGTAATTTAACACTGCATTATCGCTACTTTTACTTCAGAGAAATATTTCAGTACTTGTTCGATCCCTTGTTAGGTACTGGTTCTGCAACATCATTCTACTGAACTACTTTTTTCATCTGCAAACTGAAGAAACTGAAACGTTAACTTTAATCAAATGTATTATGTGAACAGATTTCACATAACTGTATAAGGTAAAGCAATAATATTAAGTTGAACCTAAGTTATTTCAACTTAACAGTGTTGCTTTCAATACCCTTACCTTGAACAGTTGTGTGAAATCTGTTGACATAATACATGTAATTAAAGTCAACGTTTACATGTTTCCAGTGCATGTGTGATTCTTCCACTTCCCTTCCCTCAGGGGGGAGGACATCGAGCTGCGCCTGGGGGAGCACCACATCGGCTACAAGGACGGCCCCGAGCAGTTCATCGCTGCTGCCGTCATCATCCGCCACCCCGACTACGACCGCTACAACATCAACAATGACATCATGCTGATCAAACTAGCCGAGCCAGCAAAGATTAATGAGTATGTCCGGCCCATGGCCCTGCCCAGCAGCTGTGCCCCTGCAGGGACCCAGTGCCTGGTCTCTGGCTGGGGGGCCACCCAGAGCCCCTGTAAGTCTGCCCATGAGATCCATAAAAAAGTTGTTATAGTGCAGTTCCTACTAGTTATCAGTAGGGCTGCAGAATTAATTGAAATTGAATCGAAATTGCAATATTCAAAAATATGTGTAAATATTATTCAAAATTAAGATGCATAGATGTCCAGGCCTACACATCGTATTTTATAAACGTATTAAAAAATGTGTTTGTGTTAAAATTATCGATCCTTCCAATAATATAAATATCACACTTGCAATGTCAGTTAAATAATGGCAATTGTTTGTTTTCTTCAAAACGTGCAACCAATGTTATTAGTAGTTTAAACAGGTCATAGATCTCTTCAATAAATATTTTTATAAATTCTGTATATATTAATCAACTGTAAACTGACATATACACACATGCAGGTACTGTACATATCAATATGTCATGTATGTTAAGCAATTTTTTACGGTAAAATAATCAGATATACTTTTAATGTTCCTGTAGGGAAATGTATTATACTAAACTATTGTTGAGAGTCTAATTGTTGATATGTATTCAATAAAACTGATTCTGCTCATTTGAATGCTGTGACATGATCAGGCCATATAAAATGTCTCTCTTCTTGTTTGTGGTCCAGTCGGCTGTACGAAGTGCCTGCACTGCCTGGACCTGCCCATCCTGTCGCAGCAGGACTGTGAGAGCTCCTACCCCGACAGGATCACCTCCTCCATGTTCTGTGCCGGCTTCCTCCAGGGAGGCAAGGACTCCTGCCAGGTACAGCACAGAAATATACATTAGACAATTAGTCCATTTGAATGTTTTATTCTGTTTTGAACAACTGTGTTCCTCCAATATTGCTATAATCCAGTTAACTGTGGTCTAATTAGATGTATATTAAGAAACCAGTCATGCCAACATCAATTGAGTGTTATCTGAGTTTTTCAATTGAAATGTATTGTAATATTATATTTGAACTGTCCTATGCACTATTTTGTTGACCTGTACTTTCATCTGTTTTATTATTTATTTATTTTTAAATACGGAAAAGGAGGATTCAAATCTCATAATTCCTCTTTTAGTCATCACTCAAATTGAAATGTAGTCTTGCATTTAACCGATCCTATTTAGAAACAGTTGGCAGCTGTACTCTACAGCTCCATTAGAGAAGTGTGAGGGTCTGGTGCCTTGCTCATGGGTACCTCAGCAGGGCCCAGGAAGTGACCTGGCACCTCTTGAAGTATCAGCTAACTCTTCATACTTGGTTTGTTCGGGGACTTGAACCGGTGGGTGACCCTATGGTTCCCAAGTCAGGACCCTACAGACCAAGCTTTCTTTTCCCCAGATTTAGTTTAAATTGTAAACACATTCTTACTGTACTTTCCTTGTTTACTTGTTCCTACTATCATTACTAATAGCCTGACCCCACATTTTTGTTGCCATTTCTGAATTTTTCAGGGAGACTCTGGTGGCCCTCTGGTGTGTAACGGGGAGCTCCAGGGTGTGGTGTCCTGGGGCTGGGGCTGTGCTGAAGAGAATCGCCCCGGGGTTTACGCCAAGGTGGGTACACTCAATTTTCTCAGCGTAAAAGTACCTGGTTGAACATTTATTGAATTAACTATACTTGAAAAAACTATGAGACTTCGACACTGAATTTGTTGTTAGTTTTGTTGCGAGTTGCTGTTCAGACGGTCACGTGCCATTATTACAATTTTAATTGAAGTTATATCAATAATTGTCATTGCAAAGCTCAGCTCTGTGGTGTGATCAGTCATATCTGAAGGTCAAACTCTAAATGTAATATCTGGGGACACAAACCTTTTATCTTCAGATGTTTGCTATCTTACACAAATGACGCTATAACCTTTTTATCTGAGTGCAACATCCTACTGATTGAATGTGCCTGATTTCTATCTGACCTTTTGCACAGTCATTGTCACAATAAGTGTAAACTGAACCAGCTAAAAGTGATGTTCCTTGTATTCTCCACAGGTCTGCCAGTTCACTGACTGGATCCACGCCACTATTGCCTCTCACTGAAGTCCTTCTGCTAACGCTGTTTTTTTTATTTCAACACTCTTAATCCTTCTACAAGTATGTCTAGGCTTTTTAAGAATGTATTTGACTGTGAAGCATGTTTTAACAACGACAGTAAAATATCATCATGCGTAACAACCAAATGCTGTTCCTGGAATGACTCTATAATCATCAAACTATTACTGGTTGCACAGGTTGTTTTTTAAATGTGAAAAGTATACATATAGGGCTAAGAATAAACATTGTTAAAGTATAAATTAATATAAATGTGCAGTAACAGTATGAAACTGAATAAACTGAATGGTATATTGTAAATGTGTAAATATATATATACATATGTAGTCTACACACACACACACACACACACACACACACACACACACACACACACACACACACACACACAGGTGTAAACACTTGCTAATACAATAAGCAAAGTAAAGGTAAACAAATAAAAGTAAACCATCTCTCCAGTGCTTTTACTTTTTTTTTATTATTCTGGCATCGTTTTCAGCACGAATAGAGAATATTTTCATAAAAATATATATATTTGGAAATGTATTAATTAGACTGTATAGTCTCAGCAGTAACCATGTGTGACAGCAGGTGGCAGCAGCGTGGCGGAGTGTCACATGTAATAAATATAAGCGAGACACAGAGGAAGAGAAGACGAAGAATAAGGCGACCATGTTGATTTAAAGGAAGAAGAAACACAAAAGAAACGATTTATTTCAACTAAAAATCAGTTATTATAGCGAATTGTAAAGAAATTGGTTGAGCAACCGCACACTGAGTATCCTATGTAAAATAAAAGAGAAACTAAGGTAGGTTTTCTGCGACATGCAACCCTCAAATTGTGTTAAAAACATCGTTGTTGTGTTCTCGCTAGCACATAGCTAACGTTAGCGAGAGGAGTTATTTGTGCTATAATAGCCCGGATGCTAAAGAGCTTGCTTATTGTGCCATATAGCTTTAACGACAACATTTAAAAGGACGAGACGGTAACCACGAGTTTGGTAATAGTCGCGAAACTTTACACGATTGTTGTCATATTGTGTGTAGACAATCTGAATGAAATTGTTGAAACGGCTTAGCGCTTATTTAGCTTGGAGCTAACACTAGTTTCGCATATCGGTGACGTTAGCCCTACGGTGCTAATGTTGTTTACCTGAGACGCAGTATTATTATTATTGTATTAATAGGAAGACGAACGAACCCTTACCAAGCAATGCATATGGTGACATACTCTAAATGTAATACATGTTAAACCTTTTATCATATAAATGTGTGGAAATATACAATAACATGACGTGTATATGTGCGGTCATGTTTGAAGCTATTTCAAGTAATAGCTTCAAAGTCAGAACGTCTTTGGACCCGACTTACAGTTTTTGACAATCGCTTAAGACTGTAATTATTAAATACACTTCAGTCAGACATACAGTCTTAATTGTAGGTCAGTCTTCTTTAAAATCCGGGCATTTTGGGCATCGCTAATCGGCCTCGGAAGATAATTGCCACCTGGCAGGTTCACCTGTGCAATCTTAAACCAAACCATTTAGCCAATTAGCTTAATTTAGCCTTTCACTGAAGTCTAGAGAACTAGTGTTTCTTATCAAAGTTGCAACTATTCTTTTAATATTTGCTTGATATGTCCCTATCAATGCTTGTAAGTCTGTTATTATTTTTCAATAGCAAGGGCCCTTATAAGTTAGGAGACGAACAGTGGCAGATATATGGCCTTAATGTCAACAGGTTTAAGTCTCATTAAGGTACAAATATTTGTTCAATAGTAACGTGGTCAAAAAGGCAACACAAACATTGTAACAACACCAAAAAACAAACAAACACTACCGACACACACACACAACTATGAGCACAGTATCCAGTTAGTATGCAGTACAAAAATAGTAATAATTTATAAAAACGGCTAAAACATAACAATCTTGGTAAAGCAATCACATTGACCAGGTGCTATTTTCTTGCTAACATTGACATAAATTCCAATACTGTAATGTTCTTATTTTTTTCAGGAAAGAAAAGCAGCACAGTTTAAAGCTTTTTGTTGTTCTAACTTTGGAGATATAGCTGTCCAATACTATGAGAGCGCAAGTTACTCAAGTAAAAGTAGAAACTTATTGGCCCACTAGGCTGCTAGTACTAGGATACAGTGACATTTGACCTCTGCATTTAACCCATCCTAGTACTAGGCTCCTAATACTAGGATGGGTTAAATGCAGAGGTCAAATGTCACTGTATGCTGTTTGCACTTATGTGTGAACCATTAAAGAGGGTTTCATCCTCCAAATTCTAAATCTAATTAAAATATACTTAAAGTTCCAAAAGTAAAAGTAGTCATTGTGCAGATTGGTCCATTTCAGAATAATATATATAATATGTTTTATAATTATTGATCATGAAAGTGTTCTCAAAGCTGGTAAAGGTGCAGCTAGTTTGAATGACTTTGTATACTGCAGGGTAGCTTGTGGATTTACTCCAGGTGGAACTACAGTTTTAAGACTTGATTATATTTCAAATCATTAATCCGAATCTGCAAAGTAACTAAAGGTATTAAATAAATGTAGTGGAGTCAAAGTACACGATATACCTCTGATTTGTAATGAAGTTGAATTTTTTTTGAAATATCAGTCATTGTATTTCAGAATATAAAATGTACTTAAACCGTGTGCAACAACGACCGAGTCAGTTACTTTGCTGTTCATGGTTTGTTTTAAAACCTTTTGGTTGGAACTTCTTTTTAGGTTACAAGATTGAGTTGTTGGCTGACTTTTGAGGAGGCAGCGGGTTAATCACGGCCACACTCACACACCGACCTGAAGACCTGTGGTGCCCGGCGAGAGAGGGTCAAACACCTGGAGGAGAAAGGAAACGCACACTGAGGACTAAAAAGGGGTGGAAAGCTTTTTGGCTTTGGACTAGAAACCCCCTTGTATTTGTGAATTCAGGATCCAGTTTTTTTCACACAGTCGAGCGACGTAATCCACACAGTGGAAATAATAAAAGGAAATCATTACAGACCTTATGATTTTGGGGAAATACTTGTACAAAGTTGGACAACCTTTTTTTCAAGGACGGGAATATTGAGCAACTCTTTGGACTCAAAGAGGAAGTTTTGTTCAATTTGAAACAAAAGCATTAAGCATTGAACTAAGATTATTTTGAAGAGGCTGTTCCCCAAGTTCAGATTGCCTTAGTTGTTCTAATTCAGGACTTGAACCGCTTTGATACTTGTTCACATATAATTTTTCTATTTGTGGGCAAGTATATTCATGCAAATGAGTGCAAATTTCTCTTCATTTTGAAGAGCTCTTGTGTAAAAACGTGTTTTTTTGTTGTTGTTCTTGTACGTCAGTCACTCTGTTGTTGAAGGGGACCGAACTGCACGTACATGTGTATATGTAAATACTACAAATTGACTTCTGTTGGACTCAAAAAGAATAGAGAATATTGTTTGTTAATGCTTTATTAAACTTTTTTACTTTTGAAGAGAATTTTTAAAAAGAAAAACCTAAGAGGCAAACATCTAATACTTTGAAGAAGAAAAAAAAACAAGGAAAACAGGAATAATGGCAACAGCCAGAACAGAAAACTCTGGCCCCGTCCTCATGGGACTGAACAAGCAGAACGGGCAGCTCAGAGGACAGACCAAACCAGCTCCAGTCCAGCCAGCACCCACAACTCAAGGAAAGGCTCCGGCTGCACCCCAGACAGTGGGCGGTGCCGCTCAGGACGGAGGAGGCATCAAGTTCGGAGACGACTGGAAGAAGAGCCTAAAGCTCCCTCCCAGAGACGACAGAGTCAGAACCTCTGTGAGTCAAACTATCCCTTCTCTTCTTTCCTACTGTTTCTTAGCTCTCTACTGTGTTCCTAACCCTCCTGTGTCTACTGCAGGATGTGACGTCTACTAAGGGGAATGAGTTTGAAGATTACTGTCTCAAAAGAGAACTCCTGATGGGTATCTTTGAGATGGGTTGGGAGAAACCTTCCCCTATCCAGGTATGGCTTCTTTTATTTCTTTCGGCAAATTATAATTTCTAACCGGATGAAACTAATGTCATCATCATGCCTGAACAGCCATTACAGAAAATAGCTTTTTAAATGTCATTAATTTGTTATTTAGGGTCGTTACAACTCAGTACATGTGTGTTGTGGTTTAATGCTCATTAGAATAAAATACACAAACCTTTCATAGTCAAACATGTAAAACTGGCTCATTATTTTAATCCTGAATTCTTGTCAGATAATGCAACTAAATGTCAGTGTTGGAGTAAAACAGTTTCTATAGATTAGAGAATTGTTGCAGCATTATGATTGAAGTATGATGCCACAGTATACTCACAAACAAAGATAATCTTTTTGTTTCCTTGCAGGAGGAGAGCATTCCCATCGCCCTGTCTGGACGGGATATTCTGGCTCGGGCTAAGAATGGAACGGGAAAAAGTGGAGCCTATCTCATCCCAATGCTGGAGAGAATAGACCTGAAGAAGGACTACATACAGGGTGAGGCACTGCCTGTATTTTCATCGTGCTCAATTCACTTAACAATGGCCTACCGAAGTCAAATTGATAAAATTGCTATTAAAATCTCAAATCAACATTTTAGCTTTTGCAGCTGTTAGCAGATACACATTTAGCTAAACCAGTATTATTAGTTTAAGCAAACAAAATACTCTGCTTGAATGCCTATTTATTGGTGTAAAGCCTTTTTAAAAACAACCAAAATTAAAAAAAGACACATTTAATCTGATTTGTCCTTTTTTTTTCAAATGGCTGATTTTGTAAGGAGATGACATCATAACATTCATTGGACGAAGGATATTCAAAGCTTTATTCAAAAACCTCAATAGAAGCTTCAAATGTAAAAAAGAAAAAAAGACATGTCCGTCATTATAGCTATAGTAACCTGTACATTTCCCTGCCTCAGCACTTGTCATGGTGCCCACCCGGGAGCTGGCACTGCAGGTGAGCCAGATCTCCATCCAGATCAGCAAGCACCTGGGGGGGGTCAAAGTCATGGCAACCACAGGGGGCACCAACCTGCGAGATGACATCATGCGTCTGGATGAGACCGGTAAGAAGCTACAGTGAATCTCACTGACATACTAATGGTACTTCCAAAAAGGTCTTATGCACACTATACACTCAGTGTGCGGACAAATATCAACAATTAGTCAATTCAACCCACATATTAACTAAGCCTTTTTAAAGTTATATTTTTCTGATTCATTTAGAAAAAGCTTATTTGGTTTAATTCATTTCCAATGCCTTGTTTACATGCTGATGCAACAAAACAATTAACCAAATTGGGATCAATAAGGTCTGATTTAGTAAAAATGTTAAGGTACCGACAATGGACACAAAAAAGAAGGATCATATACTAATGTTGTTACACCTTGCTCTCCCGTTACCCACCTCAGTGCATGTGGTCATTGCCACGCCTGGTAGGATCCTGGACTTGATAAAGAAAGGAGTTGCAAAAGTGGATAGAGTCCAGATGATGGTGATGGATGAGGTAAACATGACTAAACAACTAAGAAAAATGCTCTTTATTGGTAGTATATATTGTCAAAAGCATTTCATTTCTATACAATTTATTTTAACACATCTTTCATTCCATGTTTATGAAAGCCAGGAGAAAAGCCTGCCTGTTAACGTGTCTGTGCTTCCTCTCAGGCGGATAAGCTGCTGTCTCAGGATTTTGTGGTGCTCATTGAGGATATCATCAGCTTCCTGGCCAAGCACAGGCAGATCCTGCTCTACTCTGCAACCTTCCCCATCAGCGTGCAGAAGTTCATGGTGAGTCCTGGGCTGATCGCTGCAGCCCTCAGTGGCTCCCTGGCTGCAGGCCACATGGCACCGCTCGGCTCTCACTGCAGACCAAGCTGTTGTCACGCCGTGCCCAGATCTGTTCGTCTGCTCCATGCATTTCAGGGACTGTCTTTGTCTAAAGCAGCCAACAGGCACAGGGTTAGATTGTTGTGATTATGAAACAACATATCTAAATGCTTAGTAAGCCACTACAGTGCAAGAGAAACAAAACAAACTCATCAAGCAACACATTTTATTACTTATTTGAGGGAAGTTCGGTCATTCTTGTAATTTGTGATAATTCTACCGCCTTTAAATGCACATTCTAATCTGTTTATTGTCCTTGCTGTAGTCCAAGCACCTTCAGAAACCCTACGAGATAAACCTGATGGAGGAGCTGACTCTGAAGGGCATCACTCAGTACTACGCCTACGTCACGGAGAGGCAGAAAGTCCACTGTCTCAACACGCTGTTCTCCAGGGTAACTACTCGCTGTCCAAGCCTCGCAGTCACTAAGGCACTTCATCTCATTCTGAAATGCTGCAGAAGATGTTCTAACCTTTTGTCTTACACTTCATCATAAACAAACGGAAACACAGAACAGAAGATTTTTACTTTTTATTGTTCAGTCTTTGATTATGGTAGATGAAGGGATCCATAACAGTAGATTTTGTTTCTCCACCTCACAGCTTCAGATCAACCAGTCGATCATCTTCTGTAACTCCACTCAGAGGGTGGAGCTGTTGGCCAAGAAGATCACTCAGCTGGGATACTCCTGCTTCTACATCCATGCCAAGATGATGCAGGTGAGGAAGAGGTGCTCTGTGGAGAACTACTACTTCTACTCAGTCGCCCTTCAAAAAACTGATCATTAGAAAGCATTAAATAACCATGATCAATAACAAAACAAAAAATAAAACTGGTAAGATAGAAAATATACATTGATTGCAGTATGTAATTCTAGTAACAGGTTAGATGTGGTGTTAAAGGCTTCAGCAATCTGGACATTTGTCTATTAGGTACCTGGAAAGTGCTTGAAATTGACTCTGCGTCTCTAAATGTTTTTTGTTGTGTCTTTCTTCCTAGCCTCTTTAGCAGCGTTTTCATCTCTTGTATATTTTCAGGAATACAGAAACCGTGTGTTCCACGACTTCAGAAATGGACTGTGCAGAAACCTGGTCTGCACTGGTGAGTTTCTTATGTTAAATGATGCATTTAAAGAAAGCCATTCATGTTAAACCAGGAAGAGAAATGACTAATCCAACTTCTTCCGACAGATCTGTTCACCAGGGGCATTGACATCCAGGCTGTCAATGTGGTCATCAACTTCGACTTCCCCAAGAACGCTGAGACGTACCTCCATCGCATTGGAAGATCAGGTATGCTTCCTACGCCTCAATGCTGTGTTCTGCTTCATTATGATTACACTTCACCGTCTCATTTGCAAGAACCCGTTTACTTTTACTATGGTAATCTTTGAGCAACCTTACAAGACACAGGATCTGAATTCTTGGCTCACACTTGACTCTCAATTAGAGCAAACACTTACAGTAAAACCTGTCTCTGTTGGTCTCGATCTAACTGCAGTGTTGACTCTGAACACTTCTTGGCATCCATACCAACATACTGGTTTGCCAGAGTTATAAGAGTTGGCTCGGTCTACACTAGGGATGCTCCGATCTTTGGGGACGATCGCCGGAATCAGTATCGGCCGATACCGATCAAGTGGGCGGGGCCTATGGGGATCTTCCATTTAAAGTGATGTCTAAAACTCAGTTAATGGGGCTCAATCACTGGCGCTTCCACAAACAACAACCAACATAATTATTACATTGAAATGAAGTACATTATTCAAGTTTACATTAACTTGAAATTAGCGGAAGCACTCTCTCTCCCCCTCTCTCTCTCTCCTGACAGCCTGTCAGTATCTCATGCAGCTCACTGATCCAGTAATGAGTGACCCGGCAGTGAAGAATAAATATATTTATAACTAGTTTAGCTAGTTCCAGAGGTAGATAAAATAGCTAAGTGTGTTAGGTCTAACTCTTAGTGTGTGTTTTGCTCCGCTCACCGGTCCGTCACAACGCGTGGAGCTTCACACACGTTGCATATCGCTATTTTATTGTCATTTTCGGACACCTTAAAATACTGCCAGACTGGTGAAGCCATGTGATCGGCTCTCCCGATCGGCATTTATAGAGAGCACCGATCGATCGGCAGAGAGTGAATATCGGCCGATCGATCGGAGCATCCCTAGTCTACACCTCAGAATGCTCCCACCCCACAGAGAGGACTGGAAATAAAGTGTAACGGCATAGCAACAGTATAAGTCTTGCCCCGTGTCGATGATTAGTTTGATAATCTGTATTTCAAGAAACGTACATGTCGCAATATCAGACACGGCAGTCAGGATGTGTGTCTTTGGCTATACTCTGTCACTGTATGCTGTTGTGTGTGTGTGTGTGTGTGTGGCTGTGGCTGTGGCTGTGGCTGTGACGGTACCTTTTGTTTTCTTGATGTTAAACCATAATACCTGACGTTTGTTAAATTGACCGCCAAAAGATTGGATATTACGAGACTGAGCTGTTGGCTGATCAATCATGGATCCCAAATATTGTTGTTGAAAGACTTTTTTCCATTAAACACACCCTGTCCCTCTCAGGGAGGTTCGGTCACCTGGGCCTGGCCATCAACCTGATCACATCAGAGGACCGCTTCAACCTGAAGTCCATCGAGGACCAGTTGGTGACCGACATCAAGCCCATCCCCAGCAGCATCGACAAGAGCCTCTACGTGGCCGAGTTCCACACTTCCGGAGGAGACTGCGACGTGGAGGAGATCGAGGAGAAACCAGGACGCCAACAGGACGGCAAATAATAACAGGTGAGATGATTTGTAAGACTTTCACTAGATTCAAAATGTCCGACACGTCTTTCTAACCTGCGTTTGATCTCCCCTGCAGGACACGCCGGGCTTTAGCACAGACAACACGCGAGCTTCAGGCAACTCTTCAGTTTCTCTTGTTTTCAAAGCCTGTCAAATGGATGAAAGGGTGTTTTTTTATTTTTAAGCATTTCATTATCTTTTTCTCCAAAAAAGCTTCATTCTTATCATTTTTTTTTTTATGAATTCAGAAGCAATATTGTTTTGCACCAAACTCATGGACCATGCATCCTGCGTATGAGCCTAGTGTGTTTACTAGTATCTCAGTGACACAGCAGCGCAAATGAGCATCAAAGCTGTTCAGAAGCCGTCGCTCCTGGAGACGCTTTCCATTATGGCAGCCTCTTTAACGTTGAAGCGGTGCACTTCCAGCGGCCATCGTCCTGTCCACTCACACTGTTGTCGTCACTCAAGTGCCTTACTTATACTCCCATGTGCACTCATCCATTCATAGCCTGCTGTCTCCTGTCACTGTGCAGCAGAGTACGAGCACAACTACGATGAATTTAACCTAAACCCCAGTTAATTAAAAAACATCCATTATGCAAGGGAAAAGACAACACAAACAAACAATCTGCGTAAAAAAACATCCTGAATGAACGTTTATTTTTCATGTGAACGTTGCAATAAAAAAAAAAAGGGCAGCTTTATTTAAATACTGCGTGAATGTTTTTCCCTTTCCCTATGAATAATACAGAGTTTAGATGGGTACAAACACAAGGCCCCATACTAATTCATGGATGTTAGCCGCTCAGCAGCACGGGGGATTAATAGCAGCCTCATGCTGTGACATTATGGCTGTTCTATATAAATACGAAATAACATCCTATTAGGCTGGTGAATACTGTAAACCCATTGGCCAGGGAAGCTGTTGATGACAAACTGTCCTCCTCCTGCACGCTGCTACAGCACAGGAGCGTCAGAGGCGGCTTCTCAGCAGCTTTGATGGAAACATTTGACGATAATAAGCGGATACACATTTCAGTAACAACGGGTCCAAGGAATACATTTTTTTTTATGGAGTTTTGTGCAAAACAAGTGTTAATTTTTCCCGACTGCTTCAGATTAATTAAGATTTTGTGGAAAAACAAGGAGCATTTTTGCAAATCCTAATTTTTTTTTTTAAAGCCCCATCATGATCAAATTGAAGTTGGTGAATGTTTATGTGAATACTCTATCCCAATGCCAAGCTCACCAGCATATTTCCCAGTGTTTAGTTGCTGCTGTTGCATTAGAAACTCCTCTTCTGGCTGTATGAGCTTGAATACTGGATTATGAGACGTTGTCATAAAGTCTTTAAAGGGACAACATTGTCCTTCAATTGAACTGAAAATCAGTTTTCTTTCTGAAGCGGCAGCAATATCTTTTTTTTTTCAGCACAGATATGTTTGATAATTATTCTAAAGATGTGAGGGGTGGGCTCTGTGTTTGAAAGCAAAATTGTAGCATCTCTGAACAGGCAGCTGTGACCTCCTTATTTTTTTGGTTTTGTTCCCCTCCCCTAACAGAGCGTCACAAATGATGAGAAAATAGACATAAAAAAGAAAGTATTTTTGCTTTTAAGATTTATTTTTTGATGTTGCTTAAAGGTGTTTTTAAAATGGGGGCAAGGAGCTGTGAGGCTTCCTTGGGTAACTGGAGGTTTTTTTTTTTTTGGTGGGTTTGCAAAAGCCAAGTGTTTTATCAGATGCTCTCTGGGCATCTTCTCTCTGGTACTTAAAGCAAAGACAAAAGCTTTGATTTCAAGTTGATTTCCTTCACAATCCCTTGTTTTCTCCATGTTTTAAGTTCCAGAGAGAGCGTTGAGTTAAACAGGAGGGGGTTTCTGGAAATCGTGGCAGCGCTAAGATCTTCTTGAACCTGTTCCATGTTTGTGTGACGGATCGAAGCGCCACCACATATTTCCAGCACCTCGTTTCGTTCTTGGGCAATCTTTATACGAGGTGTCATGAATCATTTTGAGGAAACACAATTGTAAATGATTCATTGTTTACACTAGTCGTTTACAATTCTACAAAAAAAATAAGAAAATACTTTGCTTCATGAACGAGGAGGTTTCTTTTCTTCTTTGAAATAGAAAGTTGGGATTTACTTTGAAGCAAACCAAAAAAGGAGAATGTGTGTGTATGAAAGATGTGTTTTTGAATGAGTTGAGGTGTGTGTGTGTGTGAGATACATGCGACTGTTAAAAAATGTTTGTCTTTTGAGAGAGAGAGAGAAGCTGATTTTGTTAAAGAATCGTTAAGTTTACATGCAGCTTCAACTAAACCAGAAAATATGACAGTTTCAAAGACATTGGAGCCAACTTGGTTAATTGTGTGGATCATTTAGAATTATAATAACATTGAGGCTGCATGTAAACATAACCATGTCTTTTTTTTCTGTTTTCATGTGCAGACTCGTCTTGTTTCTGTTGGCGATGACTTAAATATCAGTATGTCTGTTTACAGTTGTCAGGGATGTGATTTATTGTTTCACCTTTTCCATCTTTCTTCATCCCAGGAGCTCAATTTGTGGACATAATTCTCATTTCTAAGGGCAAATGTCACTTGTTATTTAAAAAGTTTTATGTCTCTTATCACATCCCTGACAGTCATTCCATGATCTCCTTTGTGACTAATATAACATCAGAGATTACACATACAGTAATAGGGGATCCTTTTGTTACTTGGTGGGAATATTTGGGCAATTTTTCCAAAGAGATCATTTTACCTCCCTGATCTTGTCATAAACTCAACATTGGCTACATTTTAGACTCGACATTAGACGTCATCCCAGACTTTTACCTCAACCGTAAAGTAAAAAAATTCCCCGTTATTACAACTTTTTTTTTTCCATACACAATACTGATAAATGGAGACATTAAACTCAAATCTAAGTCTCTAGGAGTCTTCAACCGAAGTCACAAAGGAGGATATGATCAATTCTGATTGTTGATTTTGTCATCTGGTGTTATCGAGACATCTTTGTGTGTGTGTGTCAGGAGTGCGGACACGGGGGGGAGGGATATTTGTCAAACTTATTTGGAAGAAAAACATTTAAAAGGGTGACTATTTGGATTCAAACTGGCAGTTTTGGGATTCTGCAAATTCTAAATTGGTTGGGAGGGGGAGAAAAGTGTACTAATTGACTTAAAACAAGTATTAACGATTGGACTGCCTCTAATATTTCTACTGTGCAAAGCTCAACTGAATTGGATGGGTTAATTTGCTGCACTAATGTCGACTCGCCCACGCTTCTGGCCTTTCCTGCCAAACGAAACACTGAGCTCAGCAGAATTGATGTAGTATGCTGAGTCACAGTAGGATTTCCCCTGCAACATGGATAGAAGACGGACTCTAAATTTGCTCTTAAATTATGTTTTCTTTTGTTTTAATGTAGTGGAGGATAGAGTTGCAATTGCAGTGTTTTCTCTACAACACAGATAATAAGGATTGGTAATCCAAAAATGTTGGTTCATATTTTTCATGTGACTTCAGTCTTTTCTTTACTTATTGGTACTTTGTGGCCCTACTTTCCCCAAAACAATTTTAAACCACATTGTCATGTAATTTTTTGACTTGGATTGTAATAACCTAAAACCAGTGTTTTGGAAATCTATGTATTTTCCTCCCTCACTCCCCAATCATTTCCTTTTCATACCATTTAGAATTCAACTCGAGTGGTGCCAGAAAAATGTAATTCTTACTTTTTTTTTTTTTTTCGACTTACGAACTGCATTGCAGAGGCACGAGGTATTCCAACAACTCCTGCTGAGCACTCTGTCCTCTACTGTTGTAACATGGAAAAACATGCAGGGGTTATAAATTCAATAAATTGAACTGAAATTGACAATGCCTTGTGTTCTGTTTTATTACATTGTTGATTGATATGACCAGATTTAAAGAATTATAACCAGTATTTCTATCTGTTGTAGCATATTTACACCACTCACTCATTCTTAGTGGTTTGTTTGGAATGGATAGCATTTTTGATTAGATTTTGTAATTCTGTGAAAAACTAAATGCATATAAGATAAGCCTTTATTGAGCCCCAGGGGGAAATGCAGGTGTTGCAGCCGCACAGGGACAGAGGTCATTACAGATAGAGAACTAGAAATACAATTTAAGATCATATGAGGTGTATATACTAGCAAAAAAGTGAAACTTCAAAGAATGCAAAACTTTAAAATAGCAAATATAGACAAAGTTACAAGGTAGGTGACACGGTATGATTAATAAGGGCGAGTTGAATAGATATGTAAACAGCGGAATAATTATGCACCCATAGTTCTGTAGAAATAAAGCATAATCGAGACATAAGTGAAAGATGAGGCAAGATGGTATAAGAGGATTATTGTACAATATATCAAAGTATGTTTATAATTTAACATAATGCAGTATAATATATAATAAAGGTGATAATACTACTATAGTAGAGAAGTAAAAATGTAACATTTACATCAAAGTATTATAAATATATCAGTCCAACCAAGTCATGTAAGTGACTTTAAAGTGGCCTTTTGTCAAAATGTAATCTAAAAAACCTTTCCTTAAACATAAAATAATTGACACATCGATCACATATTATCATTATATGACATATAACATCACATATCACATTATTATTTATATATACAGTCTATGCATATTATGCCATTAATTGGCAGTTGACGGTTATTGGCCATCAGCTCCTAGTAATACTTTCACCTTACACACAGGTGCACACTGCTCCCTAATTAGACTGAACCCGGCTACTGTGTGTAGTGTCGTGATAAGGGGACAGGCGTTATTGAGTGTGTCGGCTACCGAATACACACATTTTAAAACATTGTGAAAGACCCTTGAGCTGCCATTTGACCTTGAGGGGAATCCCTCATAACATTTGACCAAATCCGCTCTGGTGTCTGCAGCTCTCCACCAATTAGTGCCCTCCGAAATAAACACCCCGCCCCTCTGCAACTGACTGCTCTGCAATGAGCCAATAGCGCTTGAGCGTAACATGACGTTAAACCACGCCCTCTTACCAGCAGACACATTCATTGAATGACAGGGGTGTCACCCAATCATTGTTCAGGGTCATGGCCCGTCATCCAATCGTAATGTATCGATAGGCGGGCCGGAGTGTCACACGCTTCTTCTTCTTTGGTACCACCGGTTTCAACTTCCGGCTGCATCGTCCTCTGGAAATCACAACGTGAGTAGCTATCGTTAGCTTTATGTTTTATAAAACAAGAGGTTTTACTGGAAACATATGAAAATATTAGGTGCTTTTTTTCGGAAATGTTAATCATGCAAAGTGGTCTGTGTTGACATTTACCTGCGGCAACCTGTTTGTATTAAGGCTGTCAGCTGCTGGTTGAAAGCTAGCTAGCTAGCTAGCAAGCTTAGCTAACTTTTTCATACTGGTTTGTAGGTGAGGCAGGTTTCATTCAAAGCATTAGCTACATTTAATTAAAAAAGCATTGAGCTGTCAATACTTTCTTATTGATGTAAATCATATAACGCTATTGTTCCTTATTATCAGCTGGTTGTACTTACCTGCTGCTGCTACAATTTAATATTAATGATCTGTGTGAAAGGTTAAAGGGGTATTCCCCCCATTACACACAGTAAGATCAGTGTCCTCATCATGTCAGGTTTGACTCACATCATGAGTTAAACCTGAAGCTTAGGACACACTATGTCAAATGTCTTCTTTTGCTTCTGGGGAATATTTCGACTGTTGAGGAAATGATCCTGATGATGTCCTTATGGTTTTCTTGTTGACATAAGCACCTGTCTGGAAAACTTGTTTTCATGACAACCATAAGAATAATAATGAGGCATTTCGTCTATTTCCTCAATAATACTTCATAAGTACTCTCTGCCTTATCACATTGGTCCAAATGTGTTGGAGTTGTGGACGACTAATCATTATTTGCAGAAAATAATAAAAGAAAATCATTAATCAGAGACAAAATATAAGATGTATTTCATCCTGCCGACATGCAAAACAACAAAGTAAATTGTCAAGATATTTTGTTGATCATATCTACCCTCTCTTAATATTTCTTCTGAAAAATGCATTGTTTGTATTCAAAGAATATGAATCTCTTTGCAGTTCTTGCAGATTAATTTGCTTTTTTATTCTTTACTCATTTTATTTAAGCTAATAAAAAATATGAACAACCCTGACATTACAAACTATTCAATCGAATAACTGCCTTGAGATGTTAAGTGCTTGTGCTTCTCATACATATGTAACTCACCAAGATTACACTTGAGATATGAACAACCTAGCATACGTTTCCCAACATTTCCATTCAGGATAAATCAAGTTAGGGCTTATCTTATCAGGAAGTGAACCCTTTACTTCAGACTAAATCATTTTCAATCAAGGCCTGCATTACAAATTGTACATTTGGTATTCGAAAGAAGGTCAAACGCAAGACACTTCTGTGTTTCATTATGTGAGATGTAGGATCCAGAATATGTTTAGCTTGCTGGACTCATACTGGGGTATCAATCTGTTGGTAGTCCCCTAATATTAAAATGTTGCTTTTTTAAATTACTTTTATTAAACTAAAACCTGCCTGCATTAATAACGTTGCTATTGTTGATGAAGTAAAGTGTGGCAGCCACAAGTGCCCAATCTTATGAATTGGTTGCTTTAATGTCCTCTCCTGTGAGGATGTACATGCTAACACTCACCCTCTGTATCTATTTCCTCTCTGACAGAATGGGCAGTGTTTTGGCTGCCAGCTCCCCCAACCCTCCGCCCCCTGCCTCAGGCGGTGTGGCCGCTGCCCCCGGGTTGACGGTGCCCCCAGGCTTTGGGATGCCTCCAGTCTCCTCGGTCATACCCCCCGATGGGGCAGCCTCAGAGCAGGAGGCCGAGAACTCTCTGTCCAACCCGGGGGCGTTCGATGAGTGTCATCGCAAGTGCAAAGGTAACTAAAGGGTGTGGAGAGTGATTTGAGTCGAGGCTTTAGAAGGCAGAGTCCTGCTTCTGATAATTATACACTTAAGTATTTTATAATTCCATACCTACACTTCCTGATTTTGCTAACCGATGTGTCTTTCTGTATCTTCATGTTTTTCCTCTCAGAGGTGTTCCCGATGCAGATGGAGGGCGTCCGGCTAGTTGTCAACAAAGGCCTTAGCAACCACTTCCAGGTCACTTAAGTTTCCTTTTACATCAGAATTTTTAATCGGATACGATAATTTATTTATTTTTGCATTTATTTTTTTACCTTTTTAATATAAATACATTACATGTTTTTTTACTTTTTGCCCTGTATGCTTTACATAATGCATTAAGAATCAGTTATTATTTATATATGTATATTTTTGGGAATCTCTGGAATTTACTTTAACAATTTCCCATTTTAAATGTTACAATTTAGGCACATTTTTATTGTGGTGGATAAATAACATTTCATCAATTTTAAATGAATTATTTTAATTAAGATGACTGTTTTCCCGCATCATTTAAATCATAAAGCCTTACCTGTTTGACTAACAATACGAACAAAATGAAACATGAGTATCTCTGACAAGCTCTTGTCTCTTACAGAATGTGAATGTGTATCCAAGCATTTCAAACTGACTAATGACCGTGCGCTTTAAATGTGTCAAGGATCTTTTTTAATTGTGTCCTTCTCCCTGTGTTCCAGGTGAATCACACGGTGCTGCTGAGCACCACCGGAGACTCCACCTACAGGTTTGGATCCACATACGTAGGGACAAAGCAGATGGGTCCAGGAGAGGTACGCTGCAGTAAAGCTTCTGGATGAAAGGTGTTTGTGTTTTCATGAACAGTAATACACGGGCTCTTTCTGTTCAGTTTTTTCCAGTCATGGTGGGAGACATGGACAACAGCGGCAGTCTTAATGCTCAGATCATCCACCAGGTCGCCAGCAGAATACGATCCAAACTGGCCTTCCAGGTAAAGCTATTAGAATTTAAAAAAATAGTAGCTAGAGCTGGAGCTAGATCAATAAAATATGCATTCCCAATTTTAGTTTTTTTACAGTTTCTCATACCTTAGTAAATAAGTTACAGGTATTAAACTCTACCAAAGGGATATTTTACAACAAAAAAAGGGTTACGGTTGACTCAAAGCTTGTCCAACAGAGAGAAAAGTGAAGTTTCAAACAGTTCATAAAGAGTGTTAGAATTACAATGTTTCAGAATAGTTATTGTTCTCCCTCTCTTTCTCAGACGCAGCTAAACAAGTTTGTGAACTGGCAGGGAGATGCAGAGATTAAAGGAGAAGACTACACTGCGACCATCACACTTGGAAACCCTGATGTCCTCGTTGGCTCTGGTAGGTCTTCAGTCATTTCATGTATTTATTTTATTGATATAAATATTATTTAATTTTTTTCCCAACAACATTTGGTAGGTAATATCAAATTACAACTTTTTCCATGCATGCTGCTGTTATTTTGTATAACTCAAGTGGACTGCACTAAAATGCGGCATTGGCAGGTTTCCCATGGCAGTTGGTTTCACTGAAGATATACATAGGTGCAATGTAGTGTAACATGAATGCAACTGCTTTGGACTCAATTCCTATTTGGAACATTACTATTCTAATAATGCCCCGGGTTATAGGGTTCCTTGTACAATTTACAGCATAAGATCTCTGAGTATATGTTTCATATGTAAGCAATACTTGAATATTAACTGAACTATCTACAATCGAATCAATAATGAATTAAACCTTTGAATTGGAATTCAATCAGTTCACGAGTTCTCCAGCCCACTGGACATGTGGACCTCCTGCTTCCACTACATAGTTGCGATTAAAGGATTCATTTTTACTTAAAAAAAGCTTAAATGTATAATATGAAAGTCTAATTATGGTATGAATGAGGCAACCTTTTGCTTTCCTAATGGTGTTGCATAAGGGATCTCCCCCTGGATAAATCTGACCTCACTATTCCTTGGATAGATGAAGGTGGTGTTAAACTTTTAATTGAACAGCCCATGTCAGTAATTATGGAAGTATGTGTTTGTTGTATGTACTCTCCAAAGTGATCTGCTGTATCACATTTCAGTCACCATTTTTCATCCAAGGACTTCATTTATTTCTACCCTTAAATGGTTGAGGATTGTTTTCAGGTTATTGAAAGTAGACTTCTCATTTGCCCGAAATCTGCCGCTGCCCCCCTCTTGTTCCTCCACAGGGATTCTTATAGCGCACTACCTCCAGTCCATCACACCAGCCCTGGCTCTGGGGGGGGAGCTGGTGTACCACAGCAGGCCGGGGGAGGAGGGCTCAGTCATGTCTTTAGTGGGCAGATACACAGGTGAGGCTGCTTACTGTTCAAAATTAGAATCAAATGAAGTTGGCCTACACTTCCATAATGTAGTTTTTCATGTGGTTAAACCAGCGCTGGCTTGTCCCCCTCTGTACAGGAAGTAACTACATCGCCACATTGACCGTGGGCTCAGCAGGGGCTCACGCTTCATACTATCACAGAGCCAACGAGCAGGTACTTTCTCTCCTGTATTACAGTCTCGGCATGTATAAAATGCAAGCAATTTGTGAAAAAAATACATATTGTCCTGGGCTGTAAAGCCAACATCTATGATAATTAAATGAAAATGCGTAACTGGCCTCCTATGTGTTTTTGTTAGTCTTCGTTTTCTTTATTTACTTGACAGTTTTTTTTCTTGCTGTGCTGAAGGATGTTTTTATAAATCCTTATTCATCGTCCTCTAACCATCTTCTCTTCTACAGTTGCAGCTGGGCGTGGAGTTGGAGGCCAGCACCCGCATGCAGGACACCAGCGTGTCGTTCGGCTACCAGCTAGATGTGCCTAAAGCCAATTTACTGTTTAAAGGTAAGAAAAAACAAAGTATCTGCATCAAAAAATACTTTTAGTACCAAAAGTGAAAGTGCTCTTTTGCAGAATGGCCAAGTTAAAAAAAAAAAAAAAAAAAAAAAAAAAAAAAGAAAGTTTATATTATGTGATTATAATTGATTTGTATTATATATTGTATAGGGGAGGCTTATTTTCTTTATTCAATACACTGTTGGGTAGCTCAACATGAATTAAATCATAATAAAAATGTAATTCGCAGGGAGAAAAATATTAGTTTAAACCTAAATATAAGTTAAATATCATTTTAAATGAAGTATTATGGATCTGCAGAGATATCCCGGCTTTTAGTATTCTAAAGACATGTATGTTTGGTACAGATTCTTTAAAAACAAATGACTTGATGATAAAGAGCTATGATGCACAAATGATCAATCACACATGAATAATATCACAATTGCAATTCAAGTAAAAAATAATCACAAGTAATTATTTCCAACTCTTGCAGTCCTTGTTCTCATATCTGATGGAATGACTCTCATTCTAATGATGCGTCCCCTCCCTCCTCCAGGCTCATTAGACAGTAACTGGGTGGTGGGGGCCACGTTAGAAAAGAAGCTGCTCCCCCTGCCCCTCTCTCTGGTCCTCTGCACCTTCCTCAACCACCGCAAGAACAAGTTTCAGTGCGGCTTCGGGGTCACCATCGGTTAGACTCCGCCCACCGACAGACTCAGAGCGGACAGCAGCACCACCGTGTCCATCTTTCATCTGTCTCTCCATCCTGACACTATCATGCTCTAAGTTTCATCACATGGTGAACAGAAGGTAATAATTTAAATCTAATGCATTTAAAACTGTACGATTGAATAATGATCAGAAGTGAAACAAATAATGTGATTGGTCAGGAATATTTCGACTGTGGACTCCGGACATAAACCAATAGACTGTAGAGATGTTGTCACATGGAGAGACATCACAGAGCTCTTCGTTTTTGTCCCTGAGTTCAGTGCCTGTCACTCTAGTCTTGAATTTTATTCCTGTTTTTTTACTGTTAGTCTGTCTTGGCGTGCGGTGAATGAAATCGTTGTGTTTGTTAAAAGGTGATTTATAAGTTTAGCAGCCAACAGGAGGGGGCGGTACTGCATGTCACGTTCAAAATCCATCACTTGTTTTGCCTTTTTTATGTTACTTACATATGGAACCGTATATATGACCTGTATATACCTCTTGGAAACTGATAAATACCATTTCTTACAGAAAAGCTTTGTCTTGTTTCCTTCAATCAAACTCGACTGTGTTGGAGTGTGAGTTTATGAGTTCTATAAAGACTGCTCACTTAAGTTTACATTTTATTCGTTACATTTGGGAAAATTTTTCATTTAATCCAAGATTAGAAATATCCTTGAATTCAAATCTACTAGACTTCATCTAGACCAGTGGTTCTCAACTGGTGGGTCGCGTCCCAAAAGTGGGTCGCGGACCCGTTTCAAGTGGGTCGCAGATGTGAGTGAAGAAAAAAAGAATTGAAAATAAATATCTTCTTTTTTTTTTGGGAAAAAGTCAAACTTTTATTTTGAAGGCCCAATTTCCTAAAGCTGTGCATGCAGTAGGCGTTGGACTGGAAGTACCGGAGACCATAAACGGTTTTGAAAACTTCTGTCACGTAGTGATCATCTTCTCAATAAAATATTTTTGCTGATTTTTTTTCGAGTCTTCTAGCCAATCAGAATCAAGATTGTTGCCGGAAGTCCCCACGGAGAATAACTCTTTGCGGTAGAACTATTCTTTATACATCCATGGGTACATCTTCAGATACAATAGAACACGTAATGAAATATGACCCCCGGTTTGATGATTGACAGGTCACAGAACAATGGGGGCTATCTACCCTACCCACAATTCACACAGACAAGTTCAGCTGTCAGAACAAAGTGAACAACAAACAATGGTATAAAATATTATTAATATGTCAGGTAGTAATAGATTTATTTATTTTCTTCTCAGTGTACCAGAATCCGTAGTTTATATGTTAGTATTTCTAAAAATCTCCTGGGGGAGAATCCCCCCAGACCCCCCTGCTGGGGTTGGGTTTTCAGCATGTGTGCCTTTTTTATGTTATACAGTTCAGCTTTGATTCCATCATCTCATTAAACCTTTTTAAAAAGCATACTTTAGTTCTGTGAAGGGATATAAGGGAGATATGCAGTGTACTTCACTTTAATTAATATTGTATGCTGAAAAGCATATATATATATATATATTACAGCACGATTTTTTGTTGAATAGATTTGAGTGGTTCAAATTTTGGGTCGCGATCAATTGACAAAGGGAAAAGTGGGTCCCGAGGCCTGACCAGTTGAGAACCACTGCTCTAGACAACTACTCATGTAAACCAACAATCTTTTAATACATGATATGAAAACACCCCGACGTGAAATTTGGTTTGCCAAATGAGAACACATATATAACTTTATCACTTACATCTTTATTCACCTCTCCCAAAATGATGACTAAAAGGTTTGTGTCACCTTTGCAAGCTAATTTTAAAATACAATATTATAATAAAAGTACAAAAGAGATTCAGTCAAATAAACAAGTTGGGATTGTTTGCAAATATTAATAAAGGATTTGTTGCTTTATCAGTGCTTATGGCTAAGAGTATAAACACATTATGGCAGAATAAGATCCGTTCATTTATTTTTATTTTTATTTCTTATTAAAAATGTTATCCTCACAAAATATGAATCAACGTGTAGTAGTAAAATTAAGTAATTTAATTAAGTAGCATAAGATGGAAATGTTCAAGTATCTTAAAGTTGTACAGTTTTATTGTGCCTCTTGATATTTAATCTCTTGCACAAACAGATTTTATGGACTGAGTCATGAAACTGTCAGCTTTACAAATGTGCCTTTTTAATTGTATAATATTAAACTGTCTTGGTAGGACTCACTCTTCTGTGAAAAACTCTGAAACAGTCTTGAGTCCTAAGTAACACACCAAAAGACGGAACTTGTTTGTTCAATTTTTATTTTGTAAAATATACATTGGGTGAATTTGAAATAAATATCTGGAGTGTTGGGGCTGGTGGAGGACTGTTTACTGGGTCTTCTGGTTGAAAGCCTCCAGCAGGACGGACAGCTGGCTCTGCAGGTCCTGAGCGCTGGCGTCCAGCTGGGCCCTCAGCTCCTCTCCTCTCTGGGCCAGGTTCAGCTGGATCTCCTGGGTCTTCTGGCTCACCTGGGTCTCAAAGGTCTGGGTGAGGGGGACCATGCTCCTCTGGAACTCCTCCAGGCTCTGCGCCATCTTCTCCTTGATCTCGTCGGTGTAGGGCACCATCTGGGCCTGCAGCTGGGCCGCACTCTTGTCCAGCTGCTCCCTCATCTCCTGGCTCTTCTGCAGCAGGACGGCCTTCAGGGCCTGGGGGTCCATGGCCCCAGCGTAGGTGGCCGCCTCCTTCTTCAGCTCCTCCACCTGCCTCTGGAGCTGCGCCACCATCTCATCGGCAATGGGCTGCAGGCTGGTGCTCACGGTGGTCAGATCTTTCTCCAGACGAGCCTTCAGCTGCTCGGCCTCCTGGGTAAACTGAGCCATGTAGTCCTGGGTCAGAGGAGCCACCTGAGCCCGCAGAGCAACCACGTACTTATTCACGGTGTCAGCACTCGCAGAGACCCTGGCACTGAGACACACAGAGGGAGAATAAATTGTTACATTTAAACCTGTCAGTCAAGTGAAGAAAATATATTTGTTGGTATTTCTCGAAACCACGACCCACCATTTACATTTTTTTATTTTTTTTATTTAACCTTTATTTAACCAGATAAAAAGCATTGAGATAAAATCTCATTTACAATGCTGACCTGGCCAAGAAGGCAGCAACGTTACACATTATTACACATAACACAGACATATAGAACACAACTAAGTAAACAAAAAGACGAAAAAGCAGTCACTACATTGTGCACATTAGGACAGTAAGTAAGGTAAACTACTTATTACTGTAAGAGCAGCTGGTGGTAAGGACTTCAGACAACTTCAATTTAAAACATGCTATTGAGACAAGTGCCATCAGTTTTAGGCGTGATTGAAGGTCATTCCAAGACCAAGGACCATAATGAAAAAGACTCCTTTTTCCAGCCTCAGTCCGCACAGCAGGTACCTGGACCCGTATCCAGGCACTGGATCTGAGGTTGTAAGAGTCACAATCTGACACATACAGTGGAAGCTTACCTAAAATGGCTTTATACATTAATTAAAAACAATGCTGCATCCTACGCATACTAAGTGAGGACCATCCAGTTAGGCTATACTGTTTGCAATGATGAGTCCTATAGGGTGCATTTGATATATAACGCAGTGCAGCATGGTAGAGTGGGTCAAGTTTGGCCAAAACAGTGGGACAGGCAAATCTATAAATTGTATCACCGTAGTCAAGCTGTGACAGGAATAAGCCAGAGACCAACCTTTTACGGGAAGAAGTTGAAAAATTACATTTAAGTCTGTAAAGGAAGCCAAGAGTGAATTTCAATTTCTTAGTTAGAACTTCAATGTGGTGTTTAAAGTTTAGATTTCTGTCCAACCAAAAACCAGATATTTGTAGGTATCGACAAACTCAACAGAGACGCCATCAAGGGTGTCAATGGAGAGGCAAGAGGAGGACGCTGACTTGGGAGCAAAAAGCATTGCTTTGGTTTTCTTATTGTTCAATAGCAGTTTGGAATCAATAAGCGCATGCTGCAGCGTGATACAATCTGATTTTAAATTGGAAACGGCCATATCCAGAGAAGGAGCACACGAGTATACAATAGTGTCATCAGCATACATATGATAGGTAGAAAATTGCATCTGATTACAAATATTGTTTACATATAATAAAAAGAGCAAGGGCCCCAAAATAGAGCCCTGTGGAACTCCCTTCTCCAAGGTGACAGGGTCAGACAGTACTACCCAACCTGACGCATTGAGTACGGTCGGTTAGATAACTCTGAAACCAGCAAATGGCATTATGACCGAAACGAGACGCCATCATAACATTAGAATGTGGTGATCTACAGTGTCAAATGCTTTGGCTAGGTCAATAAACAATGCAACCAAGTTTATTACCTGGGAAAAACACCAGATGAAATCAAATAAAAAGATTCATACTTATTTCTCCCAATAAGAATTGCAATTATTAAACAAATCACAAGGATTTTGTTAAAAGATGTTAACTTAATAAACTCACAATGGAATAATCTAATAAATGAAATGTGTGAAAAACATTAGAATAAGAAACCAAATTCGTATCTTTGATAAAAGATGGGGAAATGGGTAAATAATAGAACACAAAACATGTATAATGACCAGCTGGTTGGATGTGACGATTTACGTATGAGTATTAATATTGTATATGATATGTGTTAGCTATACCTTATAAGTAATTATCAATTTGTTTTTTACATTTTTAAATGTTCTCCCTTTTTCTGATATGTGGATTGTTGTGTAGTTCTGTTATGTGTTTAAGTGTTTATGTTGTAATTAAGGCCTTGTAATACAAACATTTCTTAAAATGCAAATTAAAAAAATAAGTAAAAAATGTAAAGCTAGTTAGTTCTCAGTCTCACCTCACTTCCTGCCCCAACTCAGACTGTCTGATCTGCTTCACGGAGTCCTCAGCAGTGAGCGTGGCTTTGGCCACGTAGTCCCAGAAAGCATCCTTCACCAGATCCAGGTCGGTTTTAGGAGCCACCTGCATCAGCACGTTGGCATTGCAAACTGTGGAGAAAACATCAGAATTCAGTGGAACCCTAATATTTACTCAACCAGATGTTAATATTTATTTCAAAGAAAAATGTACTCACCGGAGAAAAGTGCGAGAACCACAAGTACCCTCATGATTGAATTTGAATCTGTTGGATAAAGACATTTTTAAATTAGTGAAAATCGGACATTTATTTAGTAATAAAGTGTTTAAATGATGATTGAAAGCATTACCTTACAGAGGCAGCTTGTCTCTTCTTCAGCCTGAGTGTGATGATGTTGTGCAGACGTCCAGTCAGCTCTTTTATAGCTCTACTGGAGGGTAAAGTCCTTCACTGGTTGCCCTGCTGGACAGATACTGGTCACTGCTGCCACTCCACGTCACATATTATTCATCCTGTGAAACATATTCTCAGGCATCTGTATGAAATTGTTATGAGTCTGAATCAATATGACACGCTTCAAAAACACCTAAGATAGAAAGAAAATGTAAGGAAGATTTCATTTAAACCTCAGATCATTTGATATTGGCATCTTCGGGGCAGTGCAAGGAGCTGATTTATTAACACATCATACCATCATGATGTTTAGCTAAAGTGTGTGCTTATTTATACATCAGATACGGAGGAACATTATTGTCACACGAGTCTAGAGTCTCTGGTGAATTTGAGTTCAATATTGTATCTCTTTCGGCTCCATTTTGGGTCTCTACTACCAGGGGAAAATGCTAATGCTAATTGTTCTGCTATCTTTAACAGCTAGCAGAGGTGTGTACTGGTAACAATTAGGATGACTTAAGACTGGACGTGACTATATTAAAAAATAATTACAACTCAACTTGAACTCTATTACTAGGACTTGGGACTTCACTTGGATTTAAGACTTAAGAAAATCCCAAATAATTTACCATTCATTTCCTGAATCACCTCAAATAAACACTATTCCTTTCCCCAGCCAGTTGACACTCAATACCCCATCTCCTTTGTTTGAAACAATTCGATTCGAATGATGATTCTTATGAGTTTGACACTGTGAGTTTAAACCTCTAACATTACACATAGTCATACAAAATATTGATCTGCAGCCTAAGGTAAAACTCTAGAAGTATAAGTAATAGTGTCACTTGACCTTTGAAGTACTTTTAATTACTGTTTTACTTCTGAATATATATCTACTATATATTTAACATATCATTATGCGTAAACATTTAGTACATTAGATTTATGCATTTGCAATTACTGTCCAATGTATACAACTTTGCATTTTGTTCTTTACATGGTATGAATTGGAACGGAACTGCCAACTCCGGATTGATGGATGGCATGATTTGTTATTTAACCTTTTTTAAACTTGAATCCAACACTGTCAGCAGCTAGATTACGGCACAACTCATACAATCTTGTGAGAAAACAAAAATGAACGTCAAGATGTTCATAAATAATAATGATGTATTGGGAGAGTTGAAGAGGGGGATAGAGGTACAAAACAAGCATAAATCTATATTTTTTTTGGAGACAAGCGTGTCATCTAAGGTATTGCCAGGCCTTCTTAGAATGTGCATGGGTCATATGAAAACATGTTTATCAGTAGTTCACCTTAACGTACTCTGTGTTATCAGATTCTCAGGAGGGAATTGCTGCATAAGGAAACGTAACATTCCTCAGTACAGATAATCCGGATCAAAGTCCTGCTCACACCTCACTGACCGATAAACGTCTGACGCTAACACATTGTCTCTAAACTGAGAGCATTTGGCTGGATCAATGTGTTGTGTGCTCTGTGCTCTAAGTTATAATGAAGTCATCAACAGTATTGTCCCCACACTGTTAAATAATATTATCTTATCTGCTGACATTTCTTACTCCTCACTGTTCACACGTTACATAGGAGGGAGTTAAACCAATCTATATGAGTCCTTTTCTACTCACTACGATAACATCATGTCATTATATAAGCTTTTATCTCATATACTATACTATTAGTTTGACTTTTTTGCTCTTAAACCCTTAGATGCCCGAGTGACTGGACCCTACACTCTTCCATAAGTGGGTCAAAAAGGACCCGTATTAGAATCATATGTGTTTTTATGCCATTTTTGTCATTTTTGAAAAAAAACGTTTTCCCATAGGATTCCATAGAAAATGCATTCGGGTCATTTTTGACCCACTTATGGAAGCTTGGGGTATTAATACAAAAACTACAATTTCTTAAATTGTAAATTTAAAATGTGAATGGCATGATATCCAAAACATGTTTTTTGAGGAATAGCTAGAATATGAAATGATAAAAAAAATGTAATTACAAAGATACTTCAAGAAAACCACCTCACCGGGTCAAAAGATACCCACTTATGGAAGCTTGGGGTAGTAATACAAAAACTACAATTTCTTAAAATGTATAAAATGTAAATTTAAAATTAGAATGGCATGATATCCAAAACATGTTTTTTGAGGAATAGCTGGAATATGAAATGATAACCGGGTCAAAAAAGACCCACTTATGCATCTAAGGGTTAATGGTGGCAACACCTGGCCATCATTGAAACTTTACGAAGACATTAATTGTCTCCAGAGGATGCATCCTACTGATTTTGGTAAACATAGTTACTGTCATTATTTAATTTAAACGAAGAAATGTTTTTGTTTATCAAACATTTATTTTTAATTCAACTCTCAAATGTTTGGCTCCTGTCTCCAACAACAAAACCAAATGATTTCTTATGTAGGCCTTTTTGTCATTTTAAAGCTCATAAAATAAAGCTTTTTCTCAGAGCTAGGCCACAAAATCTAAACAAATGATTATATTGATTTATTTTTAGCACATTTTTCTTTCCATTTACATAATACAAGGACAACATTAAATGTAGTATTAAAATCTTTATTCTTTATTCCTTTATTCCTGTTTTGAACATTATTAGGGAATATACAATTGTTCATAATTGAACAATGATAGGTTATATAGATGAAATAGCTCACCTCTCGTACCAAGTTAATTAATAATGCAATACCTGCAGTATTAACCAAACTAAAACATGTTTAATAAGAGTAAAGAGTAAGAATAAAAAGTACATAAAATCCAAGTAAAAGAGGGTTTACGACAACTTCTGTTTTAGACACCTGTGTTATTTTAGTTTTATTCATTTTCATGTACAAATTTGAATGTTTTACCATGAAAGTGTCACATAGTGATGATACATCAATGACTAACTGAAATCTTTTTTTTTTTAAGGTTCTTGTGTGTACTCTTTAAATATAAATACATTAACAATCTTTATTGAACGTCGTTTTATTGAGGAAGTATTAATTGCGAGTTTGAAAGTTTGAAAGTATATATGTTATAATAACTGCTGCAATTATCCTAAAAGTGGGTCAATGTTTTATGTAAGCTAATTAAATGATTTGTATACATTAAATAGGATAACACTTTTTTTATTTAATTTCTTTTTTCTTTTCTCCTTAACTGTTATTATGTTATTTTTATATATTTTTGGTGATATACAATATGTCATATTTTGTTAATATATTTTTCAAAATAAGGAAAATAAAAAAATAAAAAATTATAATAAAATAAATACAAATAATACCCAAAAAATAAATACAAAACAACACAAAATTGATATAAAGAAAAATAATGAATGCTCAAAAAACCACAAACCTAGCTGTGGAATGTGTCTGCTAGATAATGAGGACAGGAGGTTTCATCACACAGTGGTGCACTGTGATGTGGAAGCAGCAGTGACAGCAGGGCACTGAGCGCTGGACTTTACTCCTCCTGCTCCTCTCTGGGACTCTGCTGCTATATATACTGATCCAGGAGCTGTGCACAACACACTCTGCATCCATCACAGCTCAGCCACAGGTGAGACACCCCCACCAGGAATATCACATTACGATATGGAAAATAAGCACTGAGAGCTAATGTTGCATGTTTCTTTTCAGCTGCAGTCATGAAGGTCCTCGTTGTGCTCGCCCTCGCTGTTTTCACAGGTGAGCAAGATTAATTTTATTATTTTTTTATTTAGCTAAAGAAAAATGGTTATTCATTGAAATTGAAATAATAATATGTTTGGATCTTGTGTTCTTCCACCAGGTTGCCATGCCAACATCGTGTGGCAGAACCAGCCCAAGCCCCAGGTGGAAATGGTGAAAGATGCATTCTGGGACTACGTCGCCAAGGCAACCATGACTGCTGAGGATTCCCTGAAGCAGATCAGACAGTCCGAGCTGGGAAGTGAAGTGAAGTAAGTCTCAGAATAAAAGACCCACTAACTAAAGCCTATAAGGAAAATAACACTCTTGAAAACTACTTGAATATTTCTCCCTATAACATGAAATACCTTCAAACAAATATGCAACAATCTAAGTTAAGGACCATCCTTAGTTATTAACTATTAAAGAACAACTGCCTTTTTTTAAGGTAATATTTATTCCATATTTATTTATTAGCTTTTTGCCTTCTATTACAGATAATATATTGGAAAAAGGGATAGAGGGGGGACATGGAGCAAATAGCCGCTGGTTGGATTTGTAGCCTGGCCACTGAGCTGGCGTCTACATTGAGCAGGTCTCCCTTGAAAAAGAGATCAATGATCTCAATGGGATACAACCTGGATAAATAAAGGTTTGAAATAAAATGAAATGAAAAAAAAGAGTTTCCAACAGGAGAATTAAGGCAATGTCAGGAATAAATCCAACACTTTGTAGGCCTATACATACCAGACATAAGCATTTCGAGAATCAAGTAGAAATTTCGAGTAGCATTTTTACCAAACTTTTGAGAAAAACTTAAACTACATGCATTTGCGCCTCAACTAAAGCACAACTTTATTACCAACTTTTCAACTTTATTCTTGCTATAAATCCAAAAGGTCTTCCTCCTATAATGTTGTGCCTTATTCCTGGTTAATATATAAAGGAGGAACCAGAGTTTCTCATGACTTATTCCTGTGTCCCTGCAGCACCCTGATCTCTGAGAGCACCGACGCCGTCAACAAGCTCACCGACGCTCTGCGCACTCAGGTGGCCCCTCTCACCAAGGATCTCATGTCTAAGTTTACCCAGGAGGCCGAGCTGCTGAAGGCTCGTCTGGAGAAAGATCTGACCGCCGTTAGCGCCAGCCTGCAGCCCTACGCCCAGGAGCTGGTCGCTGACCTCCAGAAGCAGGTGGAGGAGCTGAAGAAGGACGCCGTCCCCTACGCTGACTCCATGGACTCCGAGGCCCTGAAGGCCGTCCTGGTGCAGAAGAGCCAGGAGCTGAGGACCCATCTGGACAAGAGCGTCGCCCAGCTG